ATGGATTTTAGAGAAGAATTTTAACAACTGTTTAATTGTCCGTAATTAAATTTCATTCACACGTTCATGCCCTTCCCAGGATCAGTCTGTCCAATATGACCAAACAGCTGCAAAACTAATGACATTCCTTTGTGTTTAGTGCTAATCAGTATGCTATGCTAACAAGATAAACTAAGATGGCAGGCATGATAAACATTACCATTACCAAACATCAGCATGTTGTCATTGTGAGCTTTTAGCTTGTTGCTGTTAGCATTTAACTAAAATAAATACGATCTCTGTCCACACCAGCGTTTTAGCTACATATCAGAGTTGATCTTCGTCTACATTAAAACCACTGAAAACGCACATCTAGTGGCAGTTTAAGTACAATGGGCATGCGTGTGCCGGTGTAAACATGAAGCAGATGGTTTATTCAGTAGTTACAGAAGATTCAGAAAAAGAATAAAGAAATAAAGATGAAGAACCACACCAGATTTTTTTGCATGGACCAATATCAAGCTGGGACAGTTACTTAATGTAACATTGAAGTTAAAAGAGACTGGCGGCGGAAAACAGACTGGGAGTCGTTGCAAAGTAGGCTAAATACGGCAACATGCAGAACACAAGTGTAGGCTGTAAGTGTTATTTGCATGGTACAAAATATTTAAACAAATATCCCAAGTCAAAAACTGTCAGTAGCATTGTGTTTCTGCTTTGCATGACCTATAAGACCCAATCAGAGAGCCAAACGTGAGAATCTGCGTCATCGTTTCTAAAGTCCTCTGTTTTTGCCCATCTGCACAAAAAACGGGGTCAGCAGCGTTTTCAAACTTCTCCATTTTAGGTCTTCCTTTTCGCCGTTTTAGTCTGGACGGGAGGTGCAAACGTAGCAAAAGGTCTCAAAATAAAAACGTAGTAGTGTGGATGGTGCCTAAGTACAGCCTCACAGAGCAGGTAACATGGCATTAGACTTTTTCTTTTTAATAGTATTTCCCACCTTTCCAGTAGTTGTTTTTTTCTTTTGTTTGACCAAATGTACAAAACACGACTTGGAGAGACTTTGAACTTGCCTGAGTTTTGTTATGTTATGATAGGGCAGTGATGCAGGAATCGGTGCAAGTTGATTTTAACTTTGCAGAGTAGTTACTGTGCAATAACATAACTTTTGTGAGCGGCATGATGCTCACTATGATGGATTTTAAGCAAGTTTAAACTCTCTTAATACAGTCTGAAAACAAGGTCCACTGAGTAGCTGTTCTGGAGCTTTTGATTATGATTACATCTTCCTCAGCAGTCTTGCCACATTGTAACTTTATTGTGGAAACAGCAAGAGCCACTTTCACCAGATTTGGTTGCACCAGCTGTTAAATGAGTTATGATGTAATGGTTTACAAAGTGGAGATTAACGTCTCATTAAATTAAGACGGTTTGTATCGCACATATGTATAAATGAGTTGTGTTAATAAATATTTACATTAAGTAAATAAAAAGTGTAACTGAACCAACTGACAAAACTAACATTTGGTTGCTGACATACAACCTGTTTGGACTGAGGACAATGGAACCGTCTACACATCTGATGTGACAAATTTAATTTCACTTTATTAAAAGGTTTTAAATTACATTGGACCTCAAATTACAAATTATTATGTTAACAATGTCAGACAAAGTAAACAAATGATGTTGCCTAGATTAGCATACATTTTTCATTGTACAAAATATTTCTCTCTGACACACATGTACACCGATCGGCCATAACATCATATCCACTGACAGGTGAAGTAAAAAACACTGATTATCTCGTTACCCTGGCACCTGTCAGTGGGTGGGATTTATTAAGTGATCAGTGTGTCCTCATAGTTGACATGGTAAAATGGGCAAGCGTGAAGATTTGAGCGATTAATTGCGATGGCCAGACGACTTGGTCAGAGCATCTCCAAAACGGTCTGCAGTGGTCGGTAGCTATCAAAACTGGTCCCAGAAAGGACAAGTGGTGAACCAGTGACAGGGTCATGGGAGGCCAACGCTCATTGATGCTTGTGGGGAATGAAGGCTGGCCCATGTGGCCGGATCCAATAGATGAGCTACGGTAGAAAAGGCCGATGCTGGTTCTGACAGAAAGGTCACACACAGTTCATACACATGGGAGTCCATGCCTCGATGGGTCAGGACTGTTTTGGTGGCAAAAGGGAGACCTAATGTTGTTCTTCCATTCCATATTTATTATATTTCTACATTTATTTATGTTGACTGTATGATTGTCTACGTGTAGCACCTTCTCACCACAGCAAATTCCTCGTATGTGTAAAACACTACTTGGCAATAAAGCTCCTTCTGATTCTTCTTCTACAATATGACCAGCAGGTGGTCATAATGTTATGGCTGATCGGTGTATTTTACAAAATATATATACAATATATACAAAATATTGACAGGTAAGTTTAATCAATCATCTGTTACTGTTGGCAGTTATGCTCCAGTTTAAGATGCTACGTTAACTTCCTGTTTACTGTTGATTGCTCCTGAGTGGATAGCGTTTCCTGGCAAACAATTTACAATTACTAATCTCTTTACCTGCTCCGACACTCCTGAAGTTTCTATATTGCAACCCGATGAAAATCAAATGTAAATCAATAGTTTGAATCTCGCTAGTAGTAATTTCAGGAGGACTCTAGTAATTAATTTCCAAATAGCTAGTGTAACCAATACAGATGAAAAAACAATCTCAACAAAAGATCCATTTAGAAGTTGTTCTGGAGCTTTTGATCAAGTCACATATAGAAGTTCATGAAACCATTGGCTGCCTTAAAGATAGAAAAACATTCAGCTACCCAGCTGCAGAGAAGTAATAAAATACAAAAAATGTTGTTATAACTCATCTGACATGTATATTTGCGTGCTGCAGAAGGACTTCTGTTAATGTTTTCTGGTCCAACCTGCCTTCACCCTGCTGCTTTTGTTAAATTTCTCCTCTACCTTCACAGTGAAGAGGATAGGTCAGTCAGTGATCAGCCAAGGCCCAGAGCAACACAATTTTATTTGTAAGGCACGACACGGGGAATGACATTTAACTTGTTATTATTTCCCAGAGAAGATTAATGATAAATTGTCCATTATTTTTCCTTAAAAGTGAAAGATAAGACCACAGTCATTTGCCCTGAAGCCAGAGTGCCACCACTATGCAAAATGACAGCCAATTATCGGGGCCTAGTTTGGGATAATGACTTTACAATGAATCTTTTGATTGAAATGTAACTCGGTTGGCCGTGGGCAAAGTGCAAAAAAAAAAAAAAATTGAATACAAAAGTTACAGAAACAATGAGCTCTATATAACTGTGTTCATCTCTTTCTCTAGGTCTCTCGCCCTCCCTCTCTTTCCACTCCTCTTTAGAAATAGCTATAAGAGAAAGCCAGAGACATGCATATATTGATGGAAAAATTATTAAGTCGCAGAGGGCTTGCAGCAAACATAAATTAGCATATTCAGGGTAAATATGCAGACTATTTACGATAATAAGACCGGATTATTCAATTCAATGAATGTTAAATAGATGAGGAAATGGTATGTGTCTTATCTAGTCAAAGCTTCTATTCATTTTAATCGCTTCCCAATTGAACTCTTCATTTTATTCTCTCTGAGTTATTGTTCCCATTCCAGCCAGCGATGGCACCTATAGGTCCTGGGAGATTTCTGCCGGTCACGTGGTTTAAGTGGCGTTCACCTTATTCTCGGCAGAAATGGAGAAAGTCGACGTCACCCTGAGGCCAGCATCATGATAAGCCCCTTTTCATTATGCACAGGGGCCGATGGAGAACAAGATAAGCAGGGCCTTGTGTGGCGGGAACATACAAGTCATCTAGATTAAATAAAAATGCCTTTTTTCCTACAGCATAGGTCCATAAACAAAACACATTTGGTTTCTTATTGTGTGTATTAAAACTTTTAACTTTAATCAGTTTGACCATGTTTGTGTGTGTGTGTGTGTGTGTGTGTATATTCATATAATATAGTCTTTCTGACATACGTTTACAAAGACTCACAGACTGCTACTGCTGCAGGCTTTTCTTCTCTTTCACCAGTTTCATAAAACACCATAAAAGACACATTTGAACTAATTATGAAACCGCCTACATGCGGAACAGATTGAATGTAAGCCCTTTCAGGTCTTGGAGGGGTTTCATAGGGTTCTTTTGTGTGAAAATGAAGTGTAATTTGGTTGTTATTTCACACTCACTGCACAAACAAGTGACTGAAGTTATACACAGACTCCTAAGTAGGCCCGATGTTAATGTAAATAATGAATAAATATGAATGTAAATGTAAAAAAGGCTTAGCAAATTCCCAAAACAGCTGGTCACTGTAGTTTTTAGCAGACATTAGGAGTAAAAAGTGCAAATGCTGTGTACAATGGGCTGCGGATACGTTTTTTTCACTATTGAGTATTTATAGCAGCAGCACGGTGTACGTGTGTGATTGACTCAAAATAAAACTCAGAACATGTAACTCAGTGCAACAGTAACGGCAATGAAGCTCTATAGCTCAGAGGATGAAGATATAACAGGCACACAATACATGTTAGTAGGATCCATCATGCTGCGGTGTTTTAGATTTCTGAATGTGTCTTTCCTTATTTCAGAGCCTTTGATTTCCATGTATTTGACTACAGTATGGAAATCAACTTGGAGAGTTGTATTATCATTACGTAGTAGTTTGCACAAGCAAACTCACAAGTGTAAATGCTAACTGATTTAGGAGATGCAGATGAACTAACTAACTTTTGTTTTATTTTATTTATTTATTTTTTTTACATATGAACAATGTAGAGAGGACTGAGGACAGCTCAACAGTGGTTGTCCAGGGAGGAGAGTCTGTTTTCTTTCAGCATTCTGTTTCAGCCTAAAGCCAGACAATTTAATCTTTGTTTGTTTGTTTAATCTTGTTCCTCAAAAGACAATTGTTTTTTGTAAGTAACAATACTATATTACTGTCTTCATGTGTGTGTGGGTTTGTATTGAAGGGGCCTTTATCGGCCGAGGAACGGAGGGCTCTGCAGCGGGTGATTAAAACTGTTCAGAAGATCATTGGTACCCATCTCCTGAGCATCAGTGATATCGGTGAGGTGAGGTGACTGCACAGAGGCCAAAGGATACTAAAGAATAGTACCCACCCAGCCACAGCCTGTTCACCCTGCTGCCTTCTGGGAAGAGATATAGAAGTTTCAGCTGCCGCACCACCAGCTTTTTCCCCCAGGCTATCAGACTCTTAAGCTCAAATTCATCTTCAGCTCTGCTCCATTTTATTTCTGTTTGCCATTTTTATAATTGCTTCTGTATTAATGTATATTGTCTGCTTTGTAGCAGAAGGGATATTGTGAAAAAATAAATCTCCCTACCTACCTACCTACCATTAATCTGTGTACATAGTCATATTGTGGGGACCCCATAAAGGGTAACGTTGGTTTAGATTTAGGTTTTTCTCCAAGATATTGATGTAGGTCTGTGTAATGTCGTCTGAAGTGATGAAAACACAACTGTGTATGTGTGTATATATTTTTAATTTATTATTATTACTATTTTATGTACATATTACTTTTGACTGTATGTAGGCTATTTAATGTAAAGCACTGTGACTGACGAAATCTACACGTCTTCCCACTTTGTATTATGAAAAAAGTCAAGTGAAGGTAAAAATAAAGGTTGAAAAATAAACCACAAGTGTCCACAGTGACCACACACTCAGGCCCAAAAAGATATATAACCGAGGATCTTTGGCTGATAAGAGCAAACTGGTTTAACCTGGTTTACCTCCTGAACCAGGTAGAATAGATCATCCACTAATTCCAGGTTTGCCTGCACCTGCTGTCCACATGTTGAAGTCTCCTTGAGCAACACACTGAACCCTAAGTTGCTCCTAATTATCAGGTTGGCACCTTGCATGGTAGCTTGCTGCCATCAGGGTGTGTGTGAATGGGTGAATGACAAACTGTAAAGGCTACCTCTGTACATGATACGGGAAAAGGTGTTTTCTCTTTAGATATATCAGTAATTAAATAAAGTAGTATGAATAAACGTATTTTAGAGCAAATCAGTCCAATATCTTTTACATTTCAACTTTGCACACCCTTAAGAAAGTGGCTGTAGTTACTTTCACCATACAATGAATAGTTAATTGCCAGCCTTACATGCGGTTCTCTAACATAAATAAAATACACATCACCGTAAAAGGGATCCATATGTGGATTGAACAAGATTTCCATTCATGCTGGTTTCAATTTCCATCACTTGAGCTATTTAATCTCAAATACAACCCAACACAGTATTTGTACTGATTCAGCCACTCTCTCCATCAGCTGGCAACAAATGTGCCAAAGTCTCCATCTAGTGGCTGTGAGACTAAATGGCTTTGGATTCATTTTCACAAACTATCTATCATCTGCTGCCATTTGCTGCCATCTGCTGTTCACTGTACTGGTATTTTCATATGGAAAAGACATGCTGTTTGGTAAAATATAAATTATGTTCTACGGAGATGAGGGGACTCTAACAGCTTAGTTAAACTGAAGTGGGGAAATACCTTCATATGTGGTAAAATATTATATTATAACTAAAATGTTATTTATTTAGAAATAATCTGTAATTATGTATTTATGTTTACATTTATATCCTGCTGCATGTTAGCAGGTAATTGATTCAAAATGAATCCATGAATATGTGGAGTGAAAAATGTCTGGTTCATCTGTTGTGGTGTAAATTTTGCTTTTCCTTCCTTTGTCACATGGTGGCGCTCTTCTATTATTTATTTCCAGTATTGCCAAAGTATTTCTGCTGGTCACACATTTTCTATCATTGTTGACATGAAACCCAGAAAACCCACTCACAGTATTCTGCAGTCTGGTGGTTTCACTTCCTTGAAACCCCTTGATACCAAAATAAAGTAATTTTAAAATAAAGTAATTTATTTACACACTAAAACTCTTTGATTTGCTGCATTATTCGAATTTTTATTGTTCACTGTCGTAGCCTGTTCAACAAGGCCATTATCAGTCATTGTCACCCTGCATTTCATTTCACTGCACACACATATTGTTTGAACTTGTGACAAATAAATCTTTGTAGAGAAGATCAAAAAAATAAGTGAAGTAAAACGTACAGTATTTCCCACTGAAGTAAAAGGCAGCTTTAAAATGAAGCACTCAAGTGAAGCACAAGTACCAAATGATTGTCCTTGAGTAAATGTACTTAGTTAAACAGCTTAATACCCTAAATGTGACAGATGATAAGCTATTAGTGTCCATGTCATGATCAGTCAGCAGCAGAAAGCAGCATAGAGAAAACCTTCCGCAAAAAAAGAGGGTAATGGGAGTAATAATCACTAAACCCATAATCTAAACAGTATATGCTCATACAATGTATCCAGTTGCATATGTCTAGGCTTGTTATGTATTCATGATTAAAGGAGAGAAAAAAAGAAAAGCCTACATCTCCATCCGCTCCCCCTCCCATACACACTATAATGGAAAAAAAACAACATTAATTATTTGCTATTTTGCAGGCGGGAGACTGCCCTTTTGCTAAAGGGAGTCATTTATCCCTATGCATGACTCCTGAAACAAATGAACAAAAACAACCATGGAGGTAATGATGTTTCACAAATCTAATACAGATTTATTAGCACAAGCAGGGAAATTAAAACGGTTAAAGAGGTGAAATGCATTTGCTGTCAGCTCTGCAAGTCAAGTGGTTGTGTCATGTTAACTGTTTGTCTTGCCACCTATAGGGGCAACTTGATGTCAGCAGCTATCGCTCTCCATCTTGAGCTTCCGTTTAATGCCGGGGAAACTTGAAAGCGGTCAGTTTTCATGTCCAACAGGGTCCACAACAAATTGCTAATCACTTCTCCAGTTCTGAGCAATAACATCAATAAGGAGAGGCTCTGATAACAACACGGTTTATGTCTGCAGTCACCAGGGGAGACCTTTTTATCTTTGATCTCTCTGAATAGGGCTAATGACAAAAACCTGCATTTGTTTGCTTTGATACTGTAAAAGCTTTTCTGCATCAAGGGATCCGGGACAGAAATGTATAATGGCAAGGTCTGCTTTTTAGGGTTGACATCCCTGTGGTCAAAAAAGTACTTCATCTTTGTTTCTACTCTGAAATATCTCCAAAGGGAACGTTATTGGAGTTCATTTAGACTCTTACCCAGCTCTGGGTTTTTGTTCATGTTCTCCCCCCGCCTCTTTATCATTTTCTTTTACCCGTTAGTTTGTCTTTCTTTCTCTGGCTCTGTAAAAGCCTTAGGGGGGGTGGGGGGGTGGGGTGTGAGGGATCCAACTCTCACACAATACTGATTCAGTCTAGGCTGGAGTGGTGGATGCAGGGATGAAAAAGAAAAAAAAACTCTTGGGCATTTGCTGTTGTATCTCAGTTGGTCTGGGTTGTTTCCCAAGAAAAAAGCCCACAATTACAGTCTGAGTACCAGACACTACACGTAGGCGCACGTACATATGCATTCATAAAGAACTCTTTCATCCTTGCAAGGCCCCGCTGAGAGACAGTTTTGTTCCAAGATGAGACTGCCTCCATTTATAACTGACTTATTGTCTCGAATGACGCACAGTACAGCACATTAATGCACCTTTTAAATGATAATAGCAAACATGATTGAAAAAATAATAACACTTCATAAGGACAAGATCTTCTTCAAGTTATTTCCCCCTCAAATGGATTTAAAGAGATTTTGAATCGACAGTGATTAGTATCATTCTGTCACACCCACAATATATTAGAATAAGACTGGGAGTCTACATAAATTTACATTTATTCATTTGGCAGACGCTTTTATCCAAAGCGACTTACATTCGGGGAACATCAGTTCAATAAAGTAAAATATCTACAAATGACAATAGATACTAGTAAGAGCAGCAATAAATACTAATGACAGCCATTAGTGCATACTGCACATTTAGCCGGATAAATACCTAGGGGAAGAAGTAAGAGTGTACAGCCAGAGTCTACAGCCATGCTGGCTCTATGAGCAGTGCTCACTAATTGCCATTGCTAGCATGTGATGCTAACATGCTGACTTTTAAGCAGGTATGATATTTTCCTTGTTCACCATCTCACTTTAGCAAATTAGCATGCTAACAGTTGCACAACTGATGATGATGGGAATGTCAACAGTTAGGTCATAAACCAAAGTATTGGACAAACTAAAATTTTGACCTGATGATGGTGCTAGATGAGAAGTCAGAAGCCCACCAAAGTTGTTTCAGTGCAGCCTGAGAGGAACATGAATGTTTGTACCAGATTTCAGTTTAGTATAGTATTATAGAATTAATTTCAAAGTATATGTACTTGTTTATGAAGCCAAACGTATCTTAGCACATTGAATTATTAATGTAGGTCTATTGATTTTTGTTAGGATTCTAAGAGTGTAATTGCCTACTGGATGCTTTGTCATTAACTTTTGCACCGACATTCACAAACCTCACAGGATGAATCTAAAGGACTTTGGGACATGTCCCCACCCCATTTTGAAATGTCAGATTTTGTCCCCATCCCTTTTTAAAAGCATATTTTCTTAAAAAAAAAACATTCTGACGTGTAGCTTACCTTTAAATAACAAATGAAAATGCCTTTCGAAAGGTTTATTTGTTCATTAAGAAAACATGCAATGCAATTAAAATATAGACAAAACAAATGTGCATTGTCCAAAAAAAGTAACTAAGTAAAAAATAAATAAATAAAAGCTACTGATTATAAAATGACCCAAAAACATGCATGCACCAATCAGTAGCCTAACTTTAACAACTTCTTGACAGTTTCTTTTTGGCCAAATTTTCCGTTCTCTCCCTGTGAACATGACAAAAGAGGAGGGAAGACTAAATCATGCCTACATATGGGTTGCCTCAGCAGGGATGATATTACGTTGAATACATCAAAAGTTGATCTATAGGAGAAACAGATCTGTAAGCAACAAAGAATGCCTGAGAGCTGCATGGCATTATATTCTATCATATATATTTTGAAATTTCAAATGTTACCAGAATTTTGTGTTTCCATTTACATAAATAAAAACATTTCCACCGTAAATTGGTGCAGAAACTTTCACCAGAATGCAGTGAATGATGTTGCAACTCTGCAAGAGAAGTGTTGTTCAAATTAGGGTTATTAATTATTTATATGATTTTTCATCCTAGACTCATGAAAATGTGCAGGTCCTGTCATGTGGGGAGACTATAAGTAGAGCATCTCTGTGTAAAGAAATGCAGATTTGAGTGTTACATTTTGTACTACAATGATGGTTTTTCAGAAGCTAAATCAGTGGAAGCTGAAACCTACTCATATTCTTGCCTTGCACAGTCTATAACATATCAATTATCTCTGATTACTGCACGCCGCGAGGGCAGCACTCCTGCTTGTGCTATTATATCATCCCTCTAAATATTACAAGAGCGTTTTCCCCCTCTGCAATCACACTATGTAACTATTCATTCATTAGATCTGAAGCTCCAGAGTTGCTCTATAGCCTCCCTATCCCTCCATATCTCACACTACTTCATGATGCCTCACATCTTCCTAACCCCATACTGTGATAGTGGCTCCTGTCTCTTAGCAACCAGCCCTCTTAGAGGAGGTGACAGCATTTGAGTGGGCACCCTCACCTCTCTACACACAGCCCCACCACCATACCACCTCCCCCACCCTCCCCCTCCCTCCCCTTCATCATCCGGATGCTCTTCAAGTCAAGTAAACACACCTCACTCTGTGGTGCAGCCTGCTTCATGCACTTATGCATTAATGTCACTGTATTAGACTGATAATGAGCCTGGATTGTCTTTTTTTGTTTCAGTTTATTCATTCATATTTTAATCAATGAATCACAATGTGAATACCTCTAGTAAAACAGAACACAATATGGTTCATTCATATTTATTTGTGACCACTATACTGAACTTGTATCAGATTATTCAGATCAGGTGTCGTCTAACATAATCAATCCACATTAAATACAGTTTCTTTGTCAGTGTCATTATAAACATTCAGTGTTTCCACTATCAGCTACATTCATTAGGGCATAGCGGGCCGCTAACTTTTTAGTATCACAGCAATCCCCGGAATAAAGTTACCTTACATAAAAGTTATTCAAATGAGGAGCATGCAGCCAGGTGAATTTGGGGAAAAGAAAGAACTGGTATCAGATCTGTTTGAGCAGAAATTACAAATTGAGGTTTTAGAATAAATACATTTGGAGCGAAAACGTTGCATCAGTGCATCCCTAATCAGTGTTGGTGTTTCTCTATTTACCCATATAAAACATTATATAAATTGCAAGGGAATGTGGAGGAGAACTGCCTGAAAAATAACCTCCAGGGGCTTGAAGAGAGACTAGACTCTAGTAGCGTGCACAATCTGTGTGTATCAATAATTCTAGACATAGTATAAAACTGAGCCATAGTTTTGCATGGAACTTGACAACAGTGCATCCAATAAATCTTTTACACAAATATAATAAATCAGTCACAGTCATAATACACACACACACACACACACACACACACACACACACACACACATCAAGATCACTCATTCATAATACATGCAAGCATACACAAACTATGATTAACAGAGCATACACTTGTGTGGTGTTTGTTAGAGTTTTCATAAGACAAAAAATGATTAAAAAAAGATTAATCTGCCTTTAGACTTAGACAAAAATAGCAGTTTGACCCAACTTATATGATAATAAATGTTAGTTGGCTAAAAGAAATGATTTCAGGACTCTCTTGAAAAGAACCTTACCCCTTCTTTCCATGACACCCCTTCATTACCATTCTTCCCAGTGTCAGTTCAGTTTAACATACAGATGGTCCAAAATATGGAATTCTGTAGTCATAGCTTTTGGTTTTAGTTTAGTTATTTCCTGTTTTTTTTTCCTGAGTCTTTCCTCATGTGTCTTGGGTTACATTAAGTCCTGCCTTTGTTTGTTTTCCCGCCAGTTTTGATGGTCTGCCACCTGATTAGTTTCACTTATCCTGCCCTCACTTTGTCTTCGTCTCAAGTGGTCCTAGAGTGTTTTCCAGTGTTTTAGACTTTGTTTTTGAACTTTGCGTCTTATTTGTTGGATTTCTGGCCTGCCCCCTTTGTATTTGTTTGCTTTTTGGACTGTTTATCTGGTTTTGACTTGTTCCTGCTTGTCTACTCTGTAAGCCTTTTTGTATATTGAATTTGTTCATTAAATAATTTCAACTGTACCTGCTCTGCCTCCGGTGTTTGCATTAGGCCTTTACACCAGAGATGCTCACAAGTCTTTGAGCTAGAATCCAAGTCAAGTCTCTTGTGGTTTTAATGAATGGTGTTTCACCTGCAGCATTCAATCCAGGCTTGCTTCTGTAACTATAACCTGTTTTTCACTTGAAGGGCACAACCATGTAATGTGAAATGCAATTAATGACAGCTTAAACTACTGTAAGTCAACACATCCCCCAGACTCTCAAACCAGTGTAATGTTATAACTAAATAAAACTGTAGAGCCTGTTCTGATCTCAGGGCGTCATAACTGTAACGTTGCATGATCAACAATAACCCTTTAACCTGTTAGCAGCGGGACGTAAATAATTATGGTAATCTACCACCACAAGTTTGGCAACTAAACAAACGCTCATTCATCTTTTCATAATGAATGGAGTTAACCTCTCGTAGGTCGTAACTAAAGCAAGAAGCAAGCGTTAGATGACCAAATCTGAGCTACCCATGTTTACTGACCCATTTTGCATTCATCGCTTCTTTGTTTGGGCCTTGTTGTATGAAGTTTTAAAGCCAAAGTTTATGATGAATGGCACAGCAGCTGCCGGTGTTTGTTGTCTCTCTACGTTACATAGGCAGGTTATACGGAGGGAGGGGAAGCTCATCAGAAGTTTCCTAAAAATAAACATTGTTCACGAGTCCCGCACCTCAAGTCCGAGTCAAGTGTGAAGTCTTTTGAGGACGAGTCTCAAGTCGAGTCTGAAGTCACTGTGTGTGCGACTTAAGTCGGACTCGAGTCCGCGTCTCAAACTCAAGTCACCAATCTCGCTTTACACCATTTGAATTTGTCTTCATAGCATGTAAAATGAACTATAAAAACAAACCAATCTGGATGATTAACTTAATAAACACTTAGGACACCTAACTGAAGGAATATAGATGAATGTCTCTGATGTAGGCCTACCCAACTTATTATTCTTACTGCTTTTTTCTGAAGATGGCATATGGGCTCAAGTTTGGTCTGAGTAGCCTACTAGCCCAAGCTATATTAGCCTACAATAATTATTATATGGATGGAAACCATTTAGAAATATTACACAGTGGCTACCTTAATGCTGATCAAGTGACTGGTTTTGCCTGGTGTACCAATACTCTTGTCCATTTTCATAGTTATGGCCCTGATTAAATTCAGCAAGCAGAACTGTAAGGAATCATATAGGTATGGGGATGTTATGAATTCTCATTGGTTTTTCAATTTCTAAAAAACAATCAAGTTAGTATGCAGTAAATTTTTACATAATTGTTGAATGGATTTTGGACTGGATTCTCTGCAGCTGTTATCCAGAAGGTTAAATTAGTCAGACTGATCAATACTGGATTTTTGAGGCAGATACTGATATTGATATTTGAGAGTAATAAAAATTTGACAACAATACAGCCCCTGATATTAATGCTTTCGTTCATTCAACATTAAGAGGTAAAGTAATTTTTTAAAGTAACTCTGTCCAAAACATGTATAGAGAGATGGATCTGGAAAATAAACTTGTCAGTGCTCTCTGCCGCGTAATGCTGTTCTCCTCTCCTCTCACATATCTTACGCTACTAATCAGCCAACATACCAACACTGACATAGCTGCAGGAAGCCAATAACAGCTGATGTACTGGCCAGGCTTATATATTGATCAAGTGCTAATCCCCAACCTACAAGGTATTCTTAGCTGCTTATAGCTGATCTATAAAACAGCTGTAACTGACTTACTACCAATGATTACTTACATAAAGGGTGCCTAATGGAAAGTGACAACACCAACAGTGATACAATTCTTAAGAGACATGCCTTTGGTGTGAGAAACCCAGGTACAATTCCCACTGTGACACATCCACCAATGTGTCCCTGAGAAAGACACTTAACCTCTCGTTGCTCCAGAGGTGTGCAACCTCTGACTTATATAGCAATTGTAAGCTGCTTTGGTTAAAAAAGTGAGCTAAATGAAGAAATTTAAATGTAATAGCTAGCATTAGCTACCATAATACAAGTGGTAGACCTAGTTTGGCTGTGTTTTATTAAATATTAGTTCAACATTTCATTTTTTAGAGAAAAAATGCACCTTTAAATGTTTTATACATGGACAGAATAAGTACCTTAGTACCAAGATGTCCTGGAGAGGCCCCCAGTGGGTCCCCAGTAAAAAGAGGAATCATTTATTTTTGTTATAATTCCATCTAGAAGTAACACAATGACAGAACATATGACTATTTTGGTCATGGGTTTTATACACTTAGTGTAAGATAAACCTAGAAAGAAAATATCTTAATGGGGGTCTGTGGTCTAATATGTGTCAATTTAGGGGTCCTTGATGTGATAAAGTTTGAGAAAACTGCTTTAAAGGGTCACAAAAATACTGAGTTTAAACCTAAATGTTGTCACCTAAGTTTGTCCTGAAATTAATTAATGTTAGGTTATTTACATATTAACACACTATTTATGCACAAAATGTTACATTTACATTAGCCTACAGCTTTTGCATCATGATGTAATTATTATTTAAACATTTCATGTGTTTTAGTGCCGTGAACCCCTTTGGGGTTTGAAATATAAATCACATCCCGCTGCGCTCACATTTGGTCTGGCTGCAGCCTGGAGCCACACTGATCAAATGACGTGAGTGGTTGACGATGCTAAATGACAGCACTTGAAATAGCCTACCTGCCATCCTACTCACCCACTTGCTGATGCGATCACGACCACGTTCACAGCGTTTCAGCACCGCGGCGCGCAGGACAGCTCCTCCGCCTTTTTGTCCTCCAGGACGATAATCTGCGGAGAAAAGTGGAACTCAACGCAAAAAACAACGTTTCTCATTTCTTTTGTTGGCTGCATTTTTTTCACTTTAAGGATCTCGAACTTTAAAGAAGAGATGGATATTGATCGTCCTGCAAATGTGTCATTTTTTGATTTCGTTGGAGGAGTTCAACTTCTCCAGGGGGAGGACACCAGGACAGCCATGCCTGTCATCCTCATCGGGATCTGCGTGTCCGGAGCGGTTGGGAATTTGCTCGTTTTGCTAATTTTCATCCGTGACTTTAGAAACGGAAAGGGCTCAGAGGTGAAAGCGCTCCTCGCCTCTCTTGCCTCCACGGACTTGGTGATCCTGCTGTTGTGCGCCCCCGTGCGCGCCGTCACCTACTACAAGCAGACCTGGACCTTGGGGAGCTTTGTCTGCAGCACTACGGACTGGTTCCAGCACTCTTGTGTGGTTGCAAAAACTTTAATCCTTGCAGTCACCACCAGAGCCAAACACACTATTGTTCCCAGAACCGCCACGGGTCCACTTTACAACCCAACGTGGATTCACGGAGCCCTGGCGTTCATTTGGATTTTGTCAATGATGTTTCCGATTCCCCAGATGCTTTTTGCCTCTACGGTGCAGCATGGCCGCGACACTATTTGCGTCTCTGAAATGCCAGTGTGCGCGTCTGACTTCATGAGTTTCTTCTACAAGATTTATCCAACTGCGACCTATGTGGTGCCGGTCATCTTTACAATTGCCTACTACACAAAAACGCTGCACACTGCGGTGAATCACGCACCAAGCCCGCAGCATCAGAGCAAGGTTATCCTGGTTTTACTGTGTCTGAGTGGCGCCCTCGGGCTCATGCTGCTGCCAGAGTGGGGGACATTCACCTGGATAAGGCTCGGGTATAACAAACCTCCCGTCGGTTTGATCATCTTTGCGCAAGTCCTCCTTTACGCATGCAGCTCCCTGTCTCCGGTGATCTTAATGACCATGTACGACGACGTGCGCCAAGGACTGATCACCATCTGGTTCATCGGGACCTGCAGAGGCCCAAAGCACCTCCCCAGGATCAAGTGTCCAAAAACGGAGGGGAACGGAGCAGAACTCGGAGCCAACGCCGTCGCCAACGCGGTGTCACAGGAGAAGGAGAAGACCTTCCCAGATGTGGAGCACTTTTGGACAGGGCGCAGAAACACACACGTCGAGGAGGAGCAGGATCCGGTTCCGTGGGAGAGAGAGGAGAAAATGTTGTAGTGAATCAGATGTGTCTTTTTTAGCAGAAGATTTCAACTTGTTCTCAACTGGTTTCTAGTGTGTTGACCCACAGTGCAGACCCTCGTTGAACGGCTGTAGCGGCCTGTTTGATGTCGTGAGCTTGATTAGATGTAAACTAAACTTGTACACTATCATGTTTTGATGTTACACATGTTTCTACTATCTATTTTGAATATTCTTGTCTGCAGTATTGCTGCACTGTCAAGTAGAGCACCTTTAATAGCGGAGGTTTGTACAAATATGAAGCCAATATTTAAAATATCCAGGAAACTCGAGCATCAGAGGAGTTGTTGTGATCGTGTAAGTGTGATGCATAACATGGATATTAAAACATTCTCAAATATGGACTGCTCTGTTTTTTTCCCCAACGGCTATAAACACACCCAGTCTACCTTAATCACGGATGAAATATAATTCTACCATCAAATCTCTCCATTTAATTCAGAAGGTTATGAGATGAAATGCACTGTGCAGTCAGAGATCATTTCTCCATATTAAATTCACAACTAATCCATCTGCACGTTTCAGGTCAAGTTAATCATGGTATTTCAGTGCAAGCAGCAGTTTGGCAGTTTTAGGGAGTAGTAGTGTAAAAGCAGGTCAGTATCCATGTCTTCATCATGTCAGCATGAATGACTGCAGAGTCTCAGTCACACCAACAGAGACTTCAGGACGTTTTGATTTAACTGTTTACACAAATGTGTGAATGTCTGGTAACACTTTATTATATTAACCTGTAATAATACATAATTTATTTGCTGATTATATATTGTTTTGTTGATCTGAATCTTCAATCGAAAGTTAGAAAATAGTCAAGTCGTGAGATGTTGTTGAGTAAATATAAAGCAGCAGAAAATGTAAAAACTCAAGTACAACTCAAAACAGTACAAAAAAGTACAGCACTAAATTAAGTTACTTTCCACAATGTTGAATAAGTAGTAGATAAACATTTAAAGGGTTTATAGCACAATAGCGTTTTAAATGTAGTTGCAAGCATATATACATAAATAACCACTTACATCTGCTTAAAAATACATATGGCTTATAAATGCTAAATAGTGAAGTGAAGTACTGACTGTATGGGTTGGAACTACATGATATGGGTTCTAATAAAACATTTTATGTTTGCATACTGCTTACAGATGACAAATGGGCAGGGTTAAAGTGAATATTTGAAGTTTTGTCACATCTTATATATTCAAGTATTTAGTTACTTACAACATAATAAAGGCAGATAAAGTATATAAAAGTACAAAAAAAAGGTGATATAAATGTCTCTGAGTCATTACCAAAGCCATTATTAGACAACGTGAGCTTGAGTTAATTTTGATTTCCGGTGTAGTTACAGGAAATTGTTTTGGTGTGATGAATAGTTGATGTCCAGATCCCCACCACGACCACCACCACACATGACCTGCGTTAACAGTTGAACCTTTCAGTGGTCGTGAAAAGAATCCTGCTTTTAGTCATCTGTGTGTTTACCAGTAAAGCAGCGACCGCCTGTGGCTCTAACGCCCCAGCAGATTTGACATTTTAGTCTGCCTGAGTGAAAAGAAAGGTTACAGGTTGAAGAGAAAAAAAACAAGCCTCTAAAGCTCTTCAGCATGATTGTGCTCCTGCACATAATATATTCATTGACAATAGACCATGTCTCCCAGTGTCTGCCCTTGGGTCACTTGGTTTTTCATTTTATGATTCACTGTATTTCTGGAGTTCTCCATCATAGTAGGATATTACACTGAATAACAGGCATAATTTTTAACAGACAAGACTGCAGAATTAATTTACCCACATTTAAGTCCTATATTATTCTCCTTCGTTAATTAAAGATAGAGACGCTGTCTTGCTGATGACAGTGTACTCATAACATTTCACAAAATAAATTACAATGTCCATCCATCCATCCATCCATCGTCAACCACTTATCCTGCGTACAGTGTCGCGGGGGGAAATTACAACGTAAGGAAGGTAAAATGTAAAAATGCTGACTGACTTAAAAACTGTAAAATAAACTGACACACTAAATGCAACAAAACATTCAGAGCAGGAACCTGTGATTTACAGTTTGATAAGATAAGATGAGATAGACGTGAGGTTTTCACAGTTGTCACATTATTCTTAAGGTCATACATATATATATGGTCAGATGTTCACATAAACATGCATGCCCTTACAGTACATATGCTGTACTCGCAACACATTAAATATTCACACATTGTCTGAGTGTGTACATGTGTTTGTATACATAATCTAAATGCACACACATCTATGTCTTATTTTTATTAATGCTGCCATAGAAGAAGGAACTGACTGAACCTGCTGACTGATAACTCATACAACGTGAGATCTAAGGTACAATACAATATAAAGTAGTAAATATAAAATGTAATATCAAAAGTCAAATGACTCAGGGGTTGAACCAAGCAACAGATATGTAATAACATAATCTAATCTAATGTAACAGCATATATAAACTTTCAGTCCGGGCCGTAGCTACAGTTGAGGCCATGTCCTATTGTTCAAATTTTAACAAACTTACTTACTGCATCAGTGTAAAAAAAAACAAAAACTTGTCTGGATAAAATGTGCTCAACATTTATAAAATTTTCTTGATTTAAATCAGAAAATACCCTTTTGAATGTTTGTGTTGAGAGATGAAATTGACATAAAGGATGAATTAACATTATTGCTGAATACATTTGGAAAACATTATATAAATATTTAGATACAGAACTGAGTGGACTTGCACTCATGCTGACCTTCATATTTCTAGAAGCCTGACTGCAGATCTGCTTTCAATGTTTATGACATTTATACAGGTTATAGCCTGCTTTTAACAGAGGCCAGTGTTAAAGAATATCTTATGTTGTCTGGCAGGCGATAGCAAAAACTCAGAGGGTAAATGTGGCTTCACCAGCTTTTGATTTAATCCTTGAAAAAAAAAAAGTAAAGGACAAGATCTGACATACTCTTGCTTTTATTAACCAGGCCATTTATAACTTTGTAGATAAGCAGTAGGACAGTAAAGATCATTTTAAAGATCACCAGACAGAAGAAACACTTCAGTTTTGAATAGCTATCTAATTTACTTGAAATTGAAATTTGAGGAAATTTCAGATCCAAAAAGCTTGTTTGAATTCAAATGACCTACTCTGCTGGGTATATTAGCAAATGGGCGGAAGAGACAAAAATTGAGATTCTCAAGAGGATATCTGCACCTTTAAGGGGATTCAGATTATTTTCTGTAAATATGCTATACACTGTTTATTTAAATATATATTTATTCATACGTGTGTGTGTGTGTGTGTGTGTGTGTGTGTGTGTGTGTGTCTGACTGAAATGTATTTACCATTTCTCCCCTTAACCCCAATAGAGAGCTGACCTTTAACCCTGAGGGTGTTAGTGCATGTGTGAGATGCAGACCAGACCCAGATCACAAGCACTTACAGCACAGGCAGACACAACCTTTTTGCACTCAGCAGAGGATGGAGTCTAGATCAGGACACTTCCTCTCAACCCAGAGGGATCTGTGATCTGTGTCTCCTTACTGATCCCTCATCCCTCACACTGAAAGATACAGCTGTGGTTGACTGAAAAGAAACTAGCCACTAAACATCCCCCTCTATCTCATGAAAGCCAACTCTAACAGTTTAATTAGATGTTTAATGTTCTCCATATCCCAGTGTCTCGGAAGGACTTATAAATTATGTTATGTAATGTTTTGTAATGCAGGCACAATGGTTCACTAGGCCATTTAAGCATAATGCTGGCATAAAAGATATTAAATTGCCTTTGGGGGATAAAGTCCATAAGGTCCTATTTCCACTTTACATGTATGGTTTACAGAGGAGCATTCACATAGTTAAATATTCCAATGAAAGCCATCATCATTCGTGTAGCCGTGAGCTACTTCCTTTGTTTGTTGGGGGTTGGCCGTCTCTGCTAAAGACTGAACTGATGAACTTTAACCAAGCTCTGAACTCTGACAGCTCACACTGCGCTCGCACAAAAAGAAAAAGCAGTCAGGTTCGATTAGCAGAAGGCAAAAGAAAAAAACAAGGTGTGATCTGATGGCTCCACAAACTGTAAGAAATCACTCATTTGGATCCCACAAGCTTGTGTTTTTGTACACCTTGGATGAACAGGGTTGGGTTGTCAGAGATACAACTTGTTCTCAATCATCTACTCAACATTCGAAGTACTTGTACTTTTGTTAAGTCTTTTTGACAATGATTATTGTTAAAAATGTTCAGGTTTGGACTGTTCGTTGGACAAAACAAGCATTGTGAACGTGTCACTTTGGGCTCTGGGTAAACCAAACAATCAATTAATTAAGAAAATAATCAGTAGATTAGTCATTAGCGAAAATGTTCATTAGTTGTGTCTTAATTGTTCAAAATGCAGTAAGAGCTTTTACATAAATACATTAATAATAATTATCTAATAATCTAACATGTAATAGTAAAACAGTCACAGGGTACTTTTTTCTGCATTGAGTACTTTTACTTTAAATAATTTAAGTACATTTTCCTGATTATACTTACATACTTTCACTTAAGTAACATTTCCAATGCAGGACTTTTACTTGCAGCTTGTACTTGTACTTTATACTTTTATGTATAAAGGATCTGAATACTTCCTCCATCACTGCCAAACTGAATCACAGCTAAAACCAGAGTGGAAACATTTGTGTGTTGCTACTTGAGAATCTTACGTCAGGTTTTCTTTCCGGAGTGCTGTAGTTTTAAAGCTAACGGCCTCTGAAAAGAGTACGGTCCTGCTCTTTTATTGAAATGTATGTAGGCTATGGTGTTTTTTTCCTCCCCACTCAACCGTGATGGATTGTGGCTGCTGCCTCAGGCTCTCGCTGCGCCTTTATCTGTATCCTCCTTTCTGCTAAGGATGGTTTTCCCTGCAAGATATGAAATGTTTGAAGCAGACTTGAGTAGGACTCACTAATAGTTTTAGCATTTGTTCTGAGCGGCATGTAGAGCTACAGGGGGGAGGGATTTTACCATATAAAGATATATATTTTCACATTCCTTTTAAAATTTGCAGCATGTTGTAAGCCCTTCTCCATCTGTCGTTTTGTCAGGTGAAATCCAGTCTTTTATGGTTTCTACTCTGTTTCTGTATTACTGTGTCAAAAGGAGTCCACCAGGTGATTCAGCTACATTTTTGGATGCTTTTAATTACTGACAGACAAAAAATGTATACAACCCTGATAATTAACTGTCCACTCTGGTGTCTAGACTGCATGCCTATTGTGAGCAGTGCTTTCATCAAGAATCTTGAAAGGAGTCATCCTCACAATTGTCTCATTTTCATAAAACATGTTTTTCCTGCTCTATAGCCTACAGTCATGATTCAACCGTAATTCAGCTCGCATTTGCTTTTCTAAACACCCACTGTCTTCTGACTCTCCTGGGAAAAAATCCTGTGGCAGTGAGTGACATGCTGTACATTTACAGTTCAGTTGTTCCAAAACAAACACAAGATGCTGAACAGTAATAGCCCCCATGGCTGAATGGACAAAGACATGGGCGCCACCTACATGCAGAAACAACAAAAAGAAATGGAGATGTCACAGCAGCGCCACCCACACAGTTTGACTGACAGGTGATCTCTGGGAAGTGCAGTGCAGAACGACCACAGTAATGAGCTCTGAGCACCAAAGAGGCCAAGAATATACCACAAGTCACTTTAGGAAGGTGAAATTATCTAGAGTTTTGAGGTTGGAAACATAAACAGGTACTCCAGCACTTTAGTAATGTACCTCCATAAAGTTGAAGAATGTGCAAAAGGCTGGTTAAAAGGTCAAAAGCTCTGAAACTCCTGCATCCTACATTTCCCATAATACAGTTTGATAGCCTTTGTTTGAGCCCCCCCTGCCTGGTAAACGCACATGTCGTGAAACTCCACATCCTCAGTTTGCTATGCATGTTTCTTTTAATGATGTGTAGCCTCCAAACGCACACAAACAAAACCAAATCTAATAGATAGTTCTCCAGACGTGACAAAGCCAATGCAGCTGTTAGGCACATGAGCAGGTGCAAATTAAGTTAAAATATTCTGATCGACATACCAACAATAACAAACAAGTGTGCTGCAGGGCAATTAATTAAGATTCAGGTTGGTAAGATTTAGTCAGAGAGAATACGCCCAGTAATATAACACTGTGGCCTCACAGAAAGAAGGTGCTGGGTTCAAACTCAGGTCATGTGGATGTTGCATGTTCTTCCCATGTCTGCATGGGTTTCTTCTGGATACTCAGGTTTCCCCCACCATCAGGAAACATGTAGGTTCTGTGGTCAGTGCTACTGACCAGGGCACTGGCAAAGATGTAGTGTTGGTCACCGGGCGCTGTAAAGAGGTTGCCGCTGCTCCCATGAGGGATGGGTAAAATGCAGAGAATGAATTTTGCTATTGTATGTAACAATAAAGTACTTTTACCTCACCTGTCTTTTGTATCTAAAAACTTAGTTTAACTTGCATTCATCGATTGCACATTTTATTTGTAATTATTGATAATAAATTAATTCAATGTCCGCATGGGAGGGCAGTTGTTTTTGCCTTCCAAAGATGCGGGCATACAGACTGCTCTAAAGAGGAGTAGTGCTTCCCATGAAGAGTAAACTGATCTTCATGTGTACAATATGTAAAGTGTTACATTAAAATCAGAAACACTCTTCTGTTGCTTCAAATTAGGAATTGGGTGAATCACTGCAAGTTAACTGCAGAGGTAAATGCACAATGGAGCTGTAATCATTTTAACTTCTGTACTTGTAATTTAATGGATGGACTGAGAGCAAAATTGTATATACATATAAAAAACTTATTGTACAATTCATACAAAATGGCTGGATCTCTATTTGTTTGTGTAATAAAACACAGCTGTTTTGATTACCCATAATGCCACAACTCAAATTATATATTGAAGCATAAACTGAGGTAGCTTCACATGACTTCTGTCCCAAAAACAAACAAAAGTGAATCAACAAATACATTCTCTGTCATTTTAGAACCCTGCTTCTTCGTTCAGCAGCAACTCAACTGCTAAAATTAGTGTCTACCGTCAACCTGATGGTTTAGCAGCAAACATGATTTTGCCCTCTTTGCATCATAAATCTTTGAGAGATGTGGTTTCACTTAAGGCAGAGCATTCAACGTCTATAACGCAATAAAATCTGAAGGGTTTACAGACACTTTCACAGTATAAAGAGCATGCGGGCCTAATCATGTAAAAACCTTTACATGCATGCAGTGCAATCAAATATCTTAATCTCTTTTTAAGAGTGCTGCAGTTTAATGAACAAACATCCTCTCAGATGCCATTTTCTTTCCCATAATTCTCCAGTAATTCAGATTAGTGGCATCCTGTTCATGTTAACTTACAGAGACAGTAAATTAAATAAGATTATTTCACGCAAAGATGGATCTCCTGTTAATACAGATCATTGGAGGCACGCTCATTTCATTCAGGAGGGTGAAAAGGAAATGTGTTTTTTAATTCATACTGCATGTTAATGCACAATCACACAGTGGACTTCTCCTAACTCAGTGAGTAAGTAAATGACGCCACCTTCTGGTTTTGAGTGAGCATAGGCTGGGATTTCACTTGAGTGTCATGTTCCTGCTCTGCTGCAATAAACTTGTGTTTTACTCATAATTTAAAGTTATATAACAATTAAGTTCATTATTTTCCTAGACACTGGGAAAATGGAGACTATATCACCTACTGTTTTACCATTCCCTAGCATGGTATCAAAAAAATCTTATCTTATTTCCATTGGAAAGATTTCAAGTATCAAGTTTCAAGAATATGTCAGGAATAATGGTAATAAAGTGTAAAAATAAGATTCAAACAAACAAACAAACAAACACAGTGGTGTGGTATACACAGAAGGAATTATGGATTAAGGATGAGGGTACGTAGTAATAATAAATAAACAAATGTTTCCACTGCAGTTGCTTATAGTTGTTGCACACCGATCATGATTAAATGTGGATTACATTTGAAATCTGTGCTACATACTAAAATGCATCTATGTATAAACATAATTACAATAATAGCACAAATCCCATACTTTATTCTACTACTCAACTACATTTCTGCAGTTATAGTTACTCTGCCATTAATACTTTAATTAAAAAAAACCTATGATTTGATTATTACTTGGTGATGTGTAACAACTATTTTACTGCTGTTGGTAGAGAGGGAGCTCATTTTTACTTCGTATTTCAGAAGATCATCAAACATTTTGTATGTAAATTCTTAATCCATAAAGTAACTAGGAACTGTAGCTGTTAAATAAATGTAATGGAGTAGAAAGCCCAGTATTGTCGTTCTGAATTGTAGTAGAGTAGAAGTATGAAGTGGCATGAAATTGACATATTCAACTACAAGTACCTCAAATTTGTACAGTACTATTCCACCACTGTCTCCTTTAATCCCTCCCCTCTCTCTCTTCTTCTCTCTGTGTCCATGTGCACGGATTAGGATCAGGGATTAGAGACAGATGTAAACCAAAAATCGAGATCCAACCTAATTCTCCGGCCATGTCATCACAGCACACGAAAGGTCACGGTTAGAGTCAAGATTAAGCACACTCCGCCTTCTTTTTTTTTTTACAGCCTGGGCGAGCTCCTATTGGTCCACTCTTTGATTGACGGCCCCTTTGTCCAATCGGAGTAGAGAACTGGGACCTTATGGGAGGATCGCTGCACAGATGTGTGCGAGAGGAAGACAGCGCAGGTTTTATAGCGAGAGCAGCGTTAGAGAGGGAGTCACCAACTGCTGAGGCACCAAAACACGAAAGGTGAGCACTAGATTATGTGACATTACGATAAATTAATCTAAATAAAGTGTGTAATTACATAGAAATTATGTTTCATTGTACATTTTAGTCGGTAATTTACCAGCAGTGAGAACTCAGGAAACGGCGGTGGTATTGACGTTAGCTAAGTTAGGTTGTGTCGTGTTTTCCAGTTTAATGTTACCTTCGCTTTTATTAAACTGCTGTCTTAATTCCTCTTCCATAGCTTTAATTGGGGATATTTCATTTTATATCTGTCACGTAGCAGTCTCGGTCTTCCTTGTTGTCTGTGTGCAGCCTTTTTATTATTCCCAACCTTCTTTGTCAGTTTTTTAAACCACAAATGCTATTGGAAATACTTTACAGGCAGGTATCACTCTCTGTGGTCCTCTTACAACCTTCTTAGTCAGTTGTTTTACCCAAAATTAGGCCTGAAAAGTATATTTTACAAAACATATAACTACTTTACAGACAGGTATGTATCTCTATCGTCCATGTTGTTTGTGTGTGGCCCTTTTAAGTTATTGTCAACCTTCTTTGTCACTTGATTTAACCTAAAATACTCTTGAAAAGTATATTTCACAATACATTTAAATACTTTACAGACAGGTATGAGTCTCTGACATCCTTGTTGTTTGTGTGCGGCCTTTTAAAATTATTCTCAACCTTCTTAGTCAGTTTTTATACTCCAACACGGGCTTGACAAGTTATTTTTCTCTTGCCAACATATACCCTATATCTCTACTCTCACTTCTTGTCAACTCTTGCAAGCTTCCTGAGACTAAAATATAAGTAAAACTTAAGAAGCAGCTGTTCCTAGATTTTATGTAACCAGATCTGTTAAGCTTGAAATGTGACCCAGAGTCTCGGAAAGCCAAGGAGACTGGGAAGAACAGGACAGTCATGGCCCGCCAGTTTAGAGGTCATGTGTTTGGCTCTGGTCTGCATACTTCGTCCTTGTTTCAAAGTCCTTTTTTCTCGTCTCACACCACCTTCCTTGTCTTGTTAATCTGCGACCTGTCATCACTTTACACTTAGATGCATGCTAAAAAATAATACGCACTCAAACTTCCCACATTCCTCCTAAGGCCTGAACACAACTCAGTATGTGTACCTGACAGGCTGTGTGGGTCAGGTAAACCATGGCCTCTAAAGGGCTAATGATACAATGAGGAAGACTTTGCCCTTTGGTTGCTGCCTTTTACATTTCCATTTCCATTATGAGACAAAGCTAGACGCTGCTACGTTTACACTAAACTTAAACGTATTGCTCTGTTTGATGTGGCCGAGGATGACAGATTATCCTCTGAAAACGTTCCTCCTGACTGAACCTGACAACAGATTACTCCATCTCACTATTTAGGTACAAACAAAATGAAGATTTAAAGGTGTATTCTATACAAAAAAGTACGTCCAAGGTTTCTAATTTGACCCTGAAAAGCCATAGGAATGTATGGGTGTGTTTGAAGCACGACGTTTGAGATTTTTTTATGCGGCACATTTGAGTTCAGATATTAAACTGCAGTCTGGAGTTGATTAATCAGTTACTAGTCAGGGCCTGTTCACCTTCTTCTTGTTCAACCTTGAAATGTAGGAGTGTTGTCCTCCCCTTCAAAAAGACAAAAGGGTTGGCACGTAATTAAAAAAACAAAACAAGAAAAGTTTCTCTTAAATGAAAGGAAATTTTAATTCCCCCCCACCCCACACACAGCTGCAGGCCTGCTGATATTCACTTTTACTTTCGGTTTCATTGAGTAAAAATCCCCATACTGTCTGTGATCACTGCAGACATCAAAAGTTCCAGTTTCATCAGTGTGGGTTTTTTTTTGGGTACTTTCCTTTTATACAGTCTGAGGTACTTACATGAGATCTTACATGTAGTAAAAGGGAATATGGCCAAGGCGCTTTGCCAACTGCAGTGGTTTCTGAGATGTAGGCGTGTGTATTGAATTACCTCATTGCAAAATTACACCATACATCTTTACTGTCTCTGTGTTTTTGTCCACTCTCTTATTTCACAGATGTCGTTTGCCAGGGACCAACTGTACAAAGGATACTTGCGGCGCAAAATGCCGATCATTTCGTCCACGGTTAAAGTGAGACAAATAGTGGCCTATCTGCCTTGCCTGACTGATCACGACAGGGTAGGTTTCATTAGGTATATGGAACTTGAACTAGGCTGGGGATTGTTTGAATAATATTGGAATAATATATTCTATCTGTACTGTGTCCACATTTTTCTACAGCAGTTCCAATACAATACCTGGGTTTTGCACTGTCTCTCACCAGAGAAGGCATTTTATGAGTTTTGCAGCCACAATAGGTTTCCCTACGTGCTGTGAAGGGAATGGTGAGGCGAGGGTTATTCTGTAGTTTGCAATCTACCACCTCGCCACTAGATGCCACTAAATCCTACACGCTACTCCTTTAAATCAAAGTTCTCAAATATTAAATGTTGTTTAAACAAAAGCAATTTTTTCTTTAATTTTAGGAAAACATAGAGGCAAAAAGAGAGGTTTGCGGGAACTTTGACAGCATGGTGCTTCTTCTGGACTGTCTGAAGAGGAGAGAAAACTGGCCAGAGCAATTCATCGAAGCATTGGAGGCGTGCGATCATCCAACTTTAGCAGCTGAGATTAGAGCAGAATACAATGCTTTGAGAGGCATCAACAGTAAGTCAACATGTACCTATTGTATTATAGTGTAGAATTTAATGTAATAATTTCCTTTGTGTCTATGCAAAGACTAAACAGATTTTATCACTACCTCAAACTAATTCTCTAAAAATATTTTAGTAGTATAATAGATATTGTAGTAATATTTTACCCTTACCGAAGTTGATATTCTACTGAAGTTTATTGGACTACCACACAGTGTGTTAACAACCTCACTTTCAGTGTAGCCTTCGTTTTGAACTGGACCAAAATGTTTGTTGAATTTTGTGTTTGTGGCCAAAAATTGTACTTTGCATCTTAAGGTCCCACATTGTCATTATTATTAAATATACTGCACTTTCTGGTTGAACCAGAAAACACATTAAATATACTCTGCATAGTACATTGCAACCATTTGGAAACAAAATGCACTCTTTGAAGAAACTTAAATTTTTTGGTCTAGAGTGTCCAAGGTGTATGGCCATTTCTATTCACAAATGCATCGACTGTTCACAGGCGGGCAAGTGTACTCCGTTGCACAGACAGCTTTGTAAGCTCATTAATACAGTAAAGCAAAACTGTGTCTCCTTGCTGCCTGTTCTTCAGAGTTTACTCACATTTGTGAGTTGTGAGAAAGATGTGTGGGAGAATGCTGACCTCCTTGGCCGGAGCATGAAGCTTCAAATTCCTAAATTCCTAGACCCATAAATTGTCTGGGTAAGATATACTGTATGTATTATGGATATCCGTAAAGCCTAGTTCACACTACACTATTTTAAGCCTGATTTGCTGGTAAATCAATGATCGATCGGTGGTCGCCAGTCGTTATGTTATATATTACACAACAATGCATCAAAACGGCGTTCCGACACATTTCATTTCACACAAGCCAGATATCTAGCATACCAAATCTCTGGAGGAGTCGTCCGACCCAACATCCACATCCAGCCAATGAGTGCAGGCAGCTGGCAGAGCAGGCAACTACTTTTTCACTGCAAAACACTTTTTACTCACCTCCAGCTCTCTGTAGCACAGATGATCCCTGCTACCTGCGTGTGCTAATCCATTCTCTCACCCATATTCTTTGTCTTTATAATGTTTATAATATTAAACAGCAGCTGTTTTATGTGTAGGTTTGCGTCATTTCCCATTTCACATGTATTTTCTTAACAAAACATGGCTTGGAGACCAGCTGTCGGGTGACACTGCCACTGTCAGCTCGTGTAGTGTGTGATCCCCTGTCATTGATCAGTCAGGTAGTGTAAACGCCACAAAGACATCAAGACTGCACGAGCCTTAAGTAATATAATGCACATTGAACACATAAGTGTAAGTGGAAATAGCAAGTAGCTTCACACACACACACACAAAACACACATTACAAATAGAAGAGCAAGGAGAAACATCATTACATTAAAAAGGTCACTACAGCAAATGCTTGGATTTCACATAGATTACATAGTTTTTATTTAGTTAGGAACTTTATTGTCCACATTGTGGAAATTTGTCTTCCCTTTCACCACACAGCATTAAAAACAATAAAAGACAAATGACAATAGAAGACAAACAGTATCATTTTTGAGTAGGGATTTCTTGCACTCCTTCACCTACTTCCAAGGTGCATGGAGGAAGGGAAGAGTTCTGGCAAGGTCAAAACTCCAACAACACTTGTTGTATAAAGAACAACTTTATTGTTATACCCACGTGTTTCAACTTGTGGCCTTCATCAGGGTCATCTCACAAAAAACAAATCTAAATACAGTACAAATAAAGAGGGGGAAGTGCTGGGTGTTTATAACATCATAAGGAAGCTGCATTTAGCTTTATAACTGCATTTAGCATATAAAATTTATTGTTATACACATATTTCGATGCCTCCTACTTGTCTGTAACATCTCCCCGCAGGTGCTTATATTCTGGAAAGCTTTACTTTTTATATTTACTGTGTCTTGGGCTACACTTTTCTACTATTCTCTGAAGTTTCAATGTATCCCTCGATCCCTAATTTTTTTTATTCACTAATATATTACATGAGTATGATTATAAGACATCAGAATCATATATCAAACATGAGGTTTTGTGTTATTTTTCCACAAAATGCTGCAGGGAATAGCCTGTTGTATGTTTGCTGGGCTTCCATGCTGATTTGTCTGACATTAGAGATTCCAGTAAATGAGAAATTATTTACTGGATTGTTTCTGGGTTAGCTAGTCCCTCAGGAGCTTCAGTCAAATGCATTCAAAATGAAGGTAATTGACAACATTGTTTGCTTTGCCCTAGATTCAACCCCCAGCTCCCCTCCAATGACTGTCGTCAGGGCACACGTCCATCCAGCGCCATCTGCCAGTCATCTGTCCCTCCCAGGGGGTGTTGGAAACAGTCAGGCTGCTGTTGCTCCACCAGCTGAAGCATCAGCTCCTCCACAGCCAGCTGCCCAGGCCCCACCCCCTATGGAATTGCCTGTGACACCACCAGCCCAAGTTCCTGTGGCTGTATCCTTACCTGAGCCTGTCCCTGAGCCTCCACAGTCAGCTCAGGTTGAAGTGGCCCCTCCTCCACCCACACCTCCACCTTCCCCTGAAAGCCCACACACTCGGGCAACTACAACCCCACCGCCTCACAAGACGATTACCTTTCACCAGGAGCCAGTGGAAAACTCAGAATCTGACATCCTGGATATCTCTGGTGGTAATGCTGTGATCCCGAATCAGGTGAGTGCAGGAAACAACAAAGCATTGATCAAGTCTGTGGCCACTCCTCAACCGCCCCATCCTGTTGAACAGTATCAAACAGACACTCCATCCCGCCCTGACCCAGCAACCACCACAGAGGTCAGGCCATCGCAGAGTCCCTCTCCAACTCAGATAAACTCAGATGTGACCGATGGATCCTCTTTCCCCATGATGACCCCAGAGAAGCCTCCAGTCCAGGACACCACCCCTCCTGTGGACAAAAAATCTGCTGTTGTCCTGCAGCCTGAAGAGACTTCTGAACCTCCTGTTACACAGGTGAAAACCAAAATATGGTAATTTTAAGATTTACTAACAAAGAAACAGAAAATCCCACACTGTGTCAGTGTCTTGTACTTACTCTTTTTGGTATCGGTCCATAAACCTTCATTAGGATAAATGTAAGATTTCCATCAGAGGAACAGGTGACAAAATGTTATTACAAAGTTCATCAGAGCGTCTCAACGGCAAAAACATTTCATGAAACAAACATGAAATTTCTCCGGCTGTTGGTCAGTCCTCACACCTTCACCAGGTAAATTGCGATACTGAATACATTTAAATTGAATTTGCCCAAATGACCCAGATATTCAAAGCAAAAGTCTTATAGACGGATTGCATTCTGGTGTATTTTTGGCTCCTTTGGGTGCTATAGTTGATATTTATTTTTCCTCTGAAATTATTACTTTTCTCAGAACCTCCATTTATCTTAACAAGAACTATCTGAACTCGGGGCGGGCAGTATGGCCATGAAATAGCATCACAGTATTTCAGGGTATTTCTGCAATAATGATTTTCTTGACAGTATGGTGAAAAACTGAAAAGATTTTTGGGTTTGAACTCAAAAAAGCTGTTGAACTGAGCTCTCCTTGCTGTAATTGTTGGGTCTCCTTGTACTCACCAGAGTGCTTCTGCTTGAGGTGGTGAAATTTGTTTGACTACCAAATTTGTATTGTTTAAGTGTTTGTGAGGAAAGACTTAAAGTTACACTGTTAAGATGTCCTGTGAACGAAGTTATATTTACGGTCATTGTTTCTGACCAGAACACATTGTGTGTCAACCTTGAGGCCAAACAAATGTTTGCTTGCTTGCCTTTTTTTTTAGTAGAAAATACTCTTACCAGTTTTTTAGGTACATCTGCGCAAATGAGAGGAACCTCATGCCTAACTCTATGAAAAGGGGCAGACTGGGGCAAAGAAATGGCCTAGGAATTTGTCCCTGGTCAACCCACTCTCCAGACAAAGCATTTGTCGGGGCTCTGGGTCTCTAGAGACCTTTTATGCTTGCTTTCTTGAGAATTTTATGCAAGTACAGTACATGCCGAAATGAGCCATTAAAATACGTTTTAGCTAAGCCTTTGAGTATAATAAATTGTACATTCAAGCCTCGTGGCTGTCCAGGCCATGCATCTGCGATTTAAATGAAACTAGATCATTGGTGCAATAAAATTTGTCTCTCTTCACTGTAGGACGGCTATTTTCTAGGAGTGCCGTCTTAGCAAAAAAGATCTCTGCTTTTGGCCATCCACATTTAGGCTAGGGGTTAGGTCGACTTTTCAGCTGTTTCATTATGTTCTGATGTGGAGTATGTGATGATTGACATAGCCCTGCCCCACCCCCATCTGGGCCAGTAACCATACACAATAGGCAAGTTGATGAAGGCACGTACCAATCGATTTTCAACTGAAGTTTTTTGTCTTTATATTAGCACTATGTGGTTTATCTCCCCAATGTCCCGTGGCCTACCAGGAAAACCCACTGGTACTCCCGATAGCCCTTGTCTTTGAAGTTTATAATGTTTATGAGATCAGTTCAACTACATTTTGAGGCAGTAGTCAGTTGTAGTGTTTTTGCTTGACTGCATTACAGCAACAGGTGTTCTTCGCATCTTGTCAAGCCACATTCACATATATGAGAATTAGATAGGATATTTGTTTAAAAAAAACAAACAAAAAAAACAGATTCCTTTAAGAAAAGAAAAACTTGACATGACTTATCATTTTCACCTGCAGGTTGTTGAAAGCAGCCCACAGACAGAAACTGCAGCTACAACATCTCCCCTACTTGGTGCTGCTGGGATAGACCCCTCTCTCTCTGATGAAAACACTCTGTGTCTTAGCAAACCTGAACAACTCCTCAGCTACTATCCACAAAATCATAACCCTGCTATCCCTGCACCCAGCTCACCGGTGGAGCCCTACTCGGGTAATAGTGAGCGTCTGGAATTTAGCAATGCTCCCTCTACCGTCGTTCCTGCATGCTCTGCTGTCAGCTCCACCATCGTAAATACAGTCTCTGCACTGCCATGCCAGGAAAATGGCATTGCTCTTAGCCATAACGAACCGGAGGAAAACCACTATGACTCTCCTTGTCAGAGTTTGGAAATGCAGGAGGTGCTGGAGAACGTGGTGCATATATCCGAGGAGCCATCTATCCTTAACCTAGACGGCCAGAGCTCAGGCCAACAAGCTCAAATCATCAACGGGGAAGCAGCCATAGAGATCACCTCTGCACCACTGCTATCCAGCAGCGCTGCTGAAACTATATCAAGTGTAAACACCTCCTCCAGTGAGAGCCACCACCCCTCTGAGCATACACCTGCTGTTATTTCACCAGAGTTGAAGACACTGCAGGAGGAGACGACCACCTCTCACACCCTGCCAGCTAATACAAAGTATATTCTGACCGCTGCAGGAGTAGGCGCCTTTGCACTTCTGATGGCATGGAAGTTTAAGAATTGAGGGGATTTAATATCTTTTTAAAGGAAGAGGGGATTAGGCTTTAAGGCTTTGGAGAGAGGATCTGAAGGGTATAGGGCCTTATTGTAGTCACTGGCCTGGGATGGTGTAATAACAGAAGACTTGCCAGACCTATGTTCATGTCATTAATTACAAGTCTGTTTTTAAGTTGGACAATATTTTACTGGTGAGCAAAAAACAAATCTACCCTTCTTTTTCTAGTTAGGAAAGTGAGTTGAGATCTCAGGTTATTTAAGCACTTGCTGCAAATATGCAGTTTGTAAAGGCTCCAATGCTGTGTATTAATGATGGCTGTCTGGCTGTCATCCAGTGATGATTAGTGTACCAAAGACTTGACTTTTAGTGGATGTGTCCTAGGGCTGAACAAATAATCAAAATATTATCAAATATGGCCCAGGTGCATTATTCAAATTGCAGGAAATGCAATTTTTTTTAAAGGTCAAATGTGTCACAAGTTAACAACATACCATTATAAAAGTTGTTGTGTCTCGGTAAATAGTATTGTTAAGAATACAGTCTGGACCTACTCTATATATTTATTATTATATGGAGCTAAATAAAAGTGAATTGAATTCTCCAGACATAAGGGAACATACTTGTTTGGTACATACCACAGCAAAAATCTCATCATCATAATCCTGTTTATATTTTTTTCACTGAAAAGGAATTTCAAAAATTACCACTTCCACTAAAATCATGACTCATATTACAATCACAGTATCTGTCAGAAATAATATCAATGTGATTGTTTTGCTAGTCGTTCAGCCCTAATCTGGGCTGTGAAAGAAAGTACAGCATCACACTTTTCTTTTAATGTTGATAGTGGGAAATGGTGCTGTAAAAGATTTCTAGTGCACTGTATTTATTTGTACATATATGTATATACAATATATAGACCTCTAATATGTATTTTAAGGAAGGCTAATGTGTCAAAAACACTCCCAGGCACCCATAATGGTTATACAGCACTCACGGAATCCGTAAGCTTTGCAAATGTATCTGGTTCATATTCTAGACAAGTTTCTATCTAACTTTTTCACCATGGGTGATAAGGGTTTTTTTTCATGGCGCCGTCCTGTTTCTTTGTGAGCCAGAATGACAAGTGGCAACCTTAAGCTACTTTATCATGACCGGCATGCTTATTGCTGATGTCTTCCGTTTTGATGTTTCTAAATGTATGATAAAATGTAGCTGGTGTAAACAAATAGTTTTTATGCAATGAGATGATGTTAAAATGTACAATAAAAATTTAGAAATTTGCTAATCGTGCTGCACTTGGCAGGTCCTTAAGGCACCCACTTTAACTTATTTTTCCCTAGGTTTTCTTCTCCTGAAATAGAAGTTTGACAGTATCATGCAAATAGCATTGTCAATACAAGAAATGTCTGTGTAAAGTTTTTATGCAATGTCTTCAGCTATGTACTTGGAGAATTCACAAGTTTGTCGGCTATAAAATTGTGATGTTTATTCCAACTTTATTGGACACACAGAACAAATGTGACAGAACAGCCTTAATAGGAATCCATTGCATTATTATTATTATGTAAAGACTTAATTGAAAAAAGTAAGTAAAATAAAAAATTAACAATGCCTTTTGCACTTTAATTACTCTACATTACTACTATATTATTCTCAGATTCAATGTAATTTATAAATTGAATAATGAATTATTCTAAAGATAGGATTCAGGAAGCTTGGACTAAATTTACCAAACAAAAGTATTTTGTTTACAATATATTGTATTTTTTGGCTCCTGTTTTCATAAAGCAAAATAACATTCTTATCTTTTCACTTATTTGCATCATTTGTTGGGTGAGCAAGGTGTTTTTAATAATAATAGAAGTGTTATTGAGATATACTGTAGCTATATCATCTAAGATTTTGTACATGTATTTGCTGCTTGTCTCAAGTAGTTATGCTCAAATCATATTTTCTACTGTGACTAAAACTGCAAGAGACAAATGACATCAACCTTTCTTTTATAGACTGTTTTCTTACTGGAGGATTCGCATTCTGATTGGTTCTTGGGTCTTTCAATCACCGACTGACTCCGACCCCCTCAGTCTTGACAGCGAACATAAAAAGGACATGAACGGCGGCCGTGTGGACGCAGCTACTTAGCTAGCTAATTAGCTAGCAGACAGACCGTTGGACTTCAATGTCCGCATAAATTATTGACGAGCGATGGTTTAATTTATCATAAACGACAGCATATATGTAGCTGATTCGTCATGTCAATGTCGTTCAATGGCCACCAACGCGACGATGAAAGAATCGACGGAGACGAAACGCCCACGAAGCAGCCGCGGTCCAACAAGGAGATGCCCGATTGTTTCAGCAGCGAGCCGAACAATGAGGCGTCCGCGTCCGCAGGAGGAGCAACACCCGACCGGCGGACCTCCAACTCTACGGCGAGGCAACGGCACGACTCGGTGAAGAAAACAAGGCCGCGTAGGTGTTAACGTTGCTATCACGGGCTTAGTGTATTTACTGGGAAAGGCACCGTTGCATGGATACAGATAAATCAAAGGCGTAAGGTTTCACCCCACAAAAGACACTCAGTGAAAATACAATTTTGGAAAGAAAATCCTTGAAATAATCCGCATAATATAAATTGCTGTATAATGTGTCGGGATGATGCAGAAACGGACAAAATCATTATTGTATTGCAATGCAATATCGGTGAGCTGTAACGTTAGTGGCAGCAAATAGCCAGGATCTAGTTTGCAACAAGATGGCGTTCGCGGTAACGTTACACACTGTACTGCTGCCTCTGTGGATGAAGCTGCTTGGAGTTATGTCGGCCAACATTGACACATCTGCATTATTTGTCCCCATTACTACTGAGAATTCCAATATTAAATGTTTTTAATATAATGATGTTGTGGTTTTTTTTTAATTTTTTTGACAAAATGTTGGTTAAGTGAACAATTTTTTTATTTTTTTTAATCTCAAATAATGCAGCATTTCCCTGGTTTGGGATGGACATTGGAGGCACTCTGGTGAAGCTGGTGTACTTTGAGCCCAAAGACATCACAGCAGAGGAGGAGCAGGAGGAGGTGGAGAACCTGAAGAGCATCCGGCGCTATCTAACCTCCAACACCGCCTATGGCAAAACGGGCATCAGGGACGTGCACCTGGAGCTGCATGACTTGACGCTGTGCGGCAGGACAGGCAACCTGCACTTCATCCGCTTCCCTACACATGACCTGCCGGCCTTCCTGCAGATGGGCCGCAACAAGCACTTCTCCAGCCTCCACACCACCCTCTGCGCCACAGGAGGGGGGGCCTACAAGTTTGAGTCTGATTTCCGAACGGTGGGTCTGGTGTTATTCTCCTCTGTTTGCTTTTACTGGCAGGACAGTGAAGATGGACAGGAAGGAAAGAGAATTGTGAAGTTTTAGCATATTTATAGCATGTGATGGAAATTCATGTAATCATAGCAGAAGAGCCAGTGAGATGGACAGCACCTGAAATTCATGTTTAAAGATGTAGCAATACTGATGGTAAATACCAGGAGAAAATCTGCGTTTTAGTAGATGTTTAATCCTAAAGGAGCACAGAAATCAAAGCAAATTTATTTTGACATATTGTCATGAAATCATGATTATTACAGTAACTGTCCCTTTTAAAGTGCTTTTATTTTTTTATAAATCAAAATGTTTGATTTTGCACAATTAACTGCTAATTCAGCAGTTTTTTGTGGTAGTCGTTTTAGATTTTAATCACAAGAGATCTGATGATTTTGTTTTTGTGTTTTTTTTCTTCTTCTTTTTGGTAAAATACATTGTTGTTATAAAGGTTCCCTTTTTTCTCCCCCCCCCCACTTTCCATCCTCCGTCAGTTTCATGCTTATATGTTCTCCTGACCACATCCCCTCAGTGATATAATCTATGTTCTGTTTTCTCTAACCCCTCCCCCCCTAAAATAAAGATGGCAGACCTGCAGCTTCACAAGCTGGATGAGCTGGACTGTTTGATTCGGGGGGTGTTGTACATCGACTCAGTGGTGTCCAGCGGCCCCTCAGAGTGCTACTACTTTGAAAACCCCACGGACCCAGATCGCTGCATCCAGCGGCCCTATACATTGGAGAACCCCTATCCTCTGCTGCTGGTCAACATAGGGTCTGGGGTCAGCATCCTGGCTGTCTACTCTGAGAGCAACTACAAACGAGTTACAGGGACCAGGTAAATATCAGAGATGCGCAAACTGTGAAAGACATGTAGATGGTAGGATTAGTTCTTTTGAATGTAATTGGTTATTAACTTCTGATCCCAGGGTTGGCAATTCGATTCCCACCTCCTTCTGTCCACATGTAAAAGCGTCCTTGGGCAAGACACTGAACTCTGGGTTGCACAAGCCTGTGCATTCCTAATTGCCATTCCTAAGCCCGGATAAATGGGGAAGGTTGCCTCGGGAAGGGCATCCGGCATAAAAAGCCTTTTGCCAAATCAAATCATATTCTCATATCTTATAATCAGATCTTCATGCTAGGTCGGGCGGAGCCCGGTTTGCCAGCGAGATGGAAAAAGATGACCTGCTGCAGCGACCAGCCGAAAGATTTAAATTTGACCAGATGGCCTTAGTGTGATACATTAAGGTTATATCACACTTGATATTGTGTTGTCTATGTTTTTAAAGAAGAATTTGAAAAAGTTAGTGATAGTTATCAATGCATAAATCCAATGCACATCTAACTCCAGTTGGGTACAAGTGCAGGACAAAAACGGCATACAAAAGAAAAGGAAAGGTTGTCTGGACACTGAAACTGAATATATTGCTTGCTTAATACTTGGCTTTATCTTAGTACTTAATTTATGTTGATGATGACGCAGGCCACCATCTGGCACTGCTGCTTGGAGGTCAGATAATATACAATCTTAAAACAAGTAGGTGCAAAAAAGTATGTTGCACATTTAAAGATTGGTTTGCTTTTTGTATCACTGGCTCCAAATGTCAACGTGACCCTAGTGAACCATACACAGGCTGATTGAAGGTGATGCAGGGATTTGCAGGAGATTACACTCCAGTCAAGTGGGTGGCCTGTTTGGTGACATCTGCCCTTTGTGTCACCCTAATGTGTGAAAAGTAGCAGCGTATTATTATTATTTTTTATTTTTTTTTTAGAGAGAGGGGGGGGGGCGCTACAAAACCACTTCCTTTTACCAAGAGTTCTTTGTTTTATTTGGACTTAGTTTTAAATCCTCCTACTCTCTCCACTGGTTTGTTTTCACGTGTGACGACCTTGACAGGGAATACTTCGTCCTCTCTTGACGTAATTGGCCTTTGTGCGGAAAGAAACACTAGATGAGCGTGTATTTGAATTGGAAATCTATATATTATACATAACCTTTTTTTTGAAGTGGGCAATCTTATTTTTGCCAATGACCTTTCTCTTTGCCCTTAACTTTAGACTTCAGTTGGGAGGTGACGATCCCTACCCATTCAAGCAGGCATCTCAAATTCCAGACTGAGGTCTTTTACGTTTCTAGAATATTAATGGTGTGTATATAATCTGTTAACCTGTGTGTGTTCACAGCCTCGGTGGTGGGACCTTCCTGGGCCTGTGTTGCCTGCTGACTGGCTGCTCTACTTTCGAGGAAGCTATAGAAATGGCTTCTCAAGGGGAGAGCACCCGAGTGGACAAGCTGGTTCGGGACATCTATGGAGGAGACTATGAGAGGTTTGGGCTGCCAGGCTGGGCTGTAGCCTCAAGGTGCGGTTTACAGCTGCTTTTATTTTTTTACTGTCGGTCTCAAGCCTGTTTTTGGTGGATTCCAGCATAAACACAGTCACAGCTTTAATGAAACGGGGAACCCGGACAAGAGGCCTTGGTTTCATGCACTATGAGCAAGACCTTTTGTATCCACAGATGGAGAATATATCGAGAAAACATATCTATCTGCACCATTATTTCTTTTTTATTTAGTCTGAATCATGCCTTTGGGATTGGCTATTTGAGTCATTGCATTGCTGAATTTTTAACTTCTGAAGACCACTCATCTGATGTGGCTTGTGTTTGAATTGATAGTTTCGGCAACATGATGTCCAAAGAGAAGAGGGAGTCGGTGTCCAAAGAGGACCTGGCCAGGGCAACACTGGTCACCATCACCAACAACATTGGCTCCATCACCAGGATGTGCGCTCTAAATGAGGTGAGCAAAAAGAGTGCAAGGTGGGTGGATGGATGTCAAGATTCAGTGGTGAGGAAGTATTTATGAATCTTGATTATGCATTTACCAATAAACAGTGGATTACAGCACACCCATCTAAACACTCGTCAGAGTCTTAAACTAAGTCAGAGACACTGACGAGGATGGGATATCCATCAGAAATCAATCTCAAATGTGGTGACATAAGAATGATTTGTTTGTATCATAGTCCGAATTTTGGACAACACTTTTTATAAAAGACAATTTAAAAGTCTTAATTTAGATTAACCTGTCTTCAAATATCTGTTCCCCTCCGGCGTCCCTCGTGGTCGTGTCCTCTTTGCGTTCAGCCTCTTTACGGTGCTGCCTTGTGGCATCTTGATCAAGCAGCATTGTACAGGGCTATGAAGGCGTAGAGGAGGTAAGCTTCACCTATCCTGGTGTCTTTCACAGCCCAAAGCAGGGGGTGTCCATCTCATTAACCAATTAAAGACACATTATTTAGCAGTCAAAGAAGTATCTCTTAAATATGCAGCCTTAAACAGTGGTGAAGTAAATTAATTCATTTATATTACAAAAAGTTAATGTTTGATAGAAATAAATTAAATAAAAGTTTCATGTCTATGGTTTTATACGTTGAGTTGTTTTTAAAGAATTGGAATAATAATAAGTAATATGTACAAATTAATAAACTTTACAAACAAGTAGTATCAGCATTGTAGGAGGAAGTCTTTGCTTAGCGGGAAGTTACTGTTGCCTAACGGGTTTCACAGGTTGACACAGATATTTGTCAGTTGTTTATATTGTTTTTGAGGTAATTATTTTATTCCTGTTCTCGTTCATTACTAAGAACATAGAGAGAGTGGTGTTTGTGGGAAACTTCCTAAGAGTGAACACCCTCTCCATGAAGCTGTTGGCCTACGCCATGGACTACTGGTCTAAAGGACAGCTCAAGGCACTCTTCCTACAGCACGAGGTAAATAAATCAACCCCATATTGACCTCAGAGGCCAAAAATGTCATTTTGTTGCATGATGGGCTCAATGATTTTGTTTTTATTTTAGGGTTACTTTGGAGCGGTTGGAGCCCTGTTAGAGCTTCTGCATCCGTCCTAATCTGTCCAAAGTACATCCAGAGAAGAACTTGTCAATCTGCTGCAAAGACCATAAGCACTTTAGACTGTTCAGAATTAATTCCACAGTGGGATGTTATGCCAGCCACCAGCCTGTTACTGGTAACCTTTGGTTGTGGCAGGTAATCCTAAACATTTGGAGGACCAATTATGTTCTTAGAAATCAAGCTAGTTTGTAAAATGGTGAAAGTGGCGTCTAAATATAGATACACATCTACTGCTGTTGTCAGTGCATGCAAGTCTGTGTCCTGCCCTGACCGAAGTGGTCTGCAGCAAAGTTGATAAAGTCTTTGTTGCAGAAACCAGGTTTGGGCTGAAGCATCTCCAAGGAAATTCACCGCGGTTGCCTGAAATACTGTCTGTTAAAAAGTATTAATCATCATGTAGTCTTGTGGACTACACTGTGGGTATCAGGCCCTGGACCAGATATTTGCAAGTACATTTTATGGTTTATTTTACTCTACTTAGGTACCAGGTGGATGGGAGTTAAGTGTTTTATTGGACTATAGAGTGTGAGTTTATTTTATAAGAACTTTTAAGACAAACAGAAGAAAGATTTTTACTACAAAAGCATCATTCTTCATTGTTTATTTGCCAAATATATGAAATACCCGTAGTTCTAAAAGAAAAACACATCACCCACAAAAGTCTTGGCTGGTCTCTTGAGAGTTGAGATGATTTAACTCTCTAATGTAAAGTACTCACTAACTGATTCAGCTGCTGATATTCGTGTACTGTAACATGACTGATTGTTTTATCAGGCAAGATAATTGTGATAGTACTTCCCATCCATCTGGTACTCGTAGTAAGCTGAAACAAAACACTGAGAATCATTTACGACCACTTATAAGGGTTTTATTATCTGTGAGCATTTACTCATTGTCACCACTTGGACTTGAAATGAGGGTGTAAAAAATCCCTTGGCTGAAAAAAAAAAAAAAAAGACGCAGGCTTTCCTCACTGAATCTTAACTTAACAATTAATTGACACCATAATTGATAAAAATGCACAAGAGGTCAACATTTAATCAGACATAACCTGTTATTGTTACAGAATATGTAGAATTTGTAGATGAATTCGGCCTCTAAAAACAGTAAATATTATCCTGTTATTGTACTTTGCCCAACTAATCTCTGTTTATGAGCCCAGTTGTTTACTCCAAGCAGCTTTTTTTTTTTTTTTTTTTGTTTGTGTTTTTGCGACAGTGGTGTTATCAGCAAATCTGGACAATCAGTGTTGGGGGTTAGTGAGACTGTATGAGCAACACATTTAAGTCCCTTTCTGACCCCAAACGTGCCCTGCTGAAGTGCCCTTGAGCAACTGCATTCATTTCCTTGCAGAGAGAAATCAGAGCAAGTGAAACGATAGATACCGATACATGTGAAAATACAAAATGAGGGCATTTGTGAATTTTCCAAATTTAAGAAAGATATTTTAATGCAGAAACGTGATGCATCCCTCCAATGGAGGTTTTAGGTCCTGTGACCCCAAACCACTTGTTGAGCATGTTCAGTATGTACTTGTTTTGAATTTAATGTACAGGCTTTTGTTTTTAACATTTTTAGGAGGAATTGAGTAAGCTAGCACTTCTAATGACTGTGTGTGTTTTATCAGTTATTTGTCCCATCATTTCATTTAATGCTTATCCGTCCTATTTTAATGTAATCTATTAAGTAATCAGTCCACTGATGGATTACAAGGACCATAAAGAATCTTCAGCTCCCTAATTGAGAGTTGATGCCCTAAACAGTTGAAAATTCAGTTTTAGCTTACAGCTAGTAGAGATATTACATCTGCAAGTTGAATATACAGTAAGCTGATTTTAATTTAAGTGCCTGCCATGTTTTTTGTATATAATACAATAATGTGTTCAGCAATGTGATTTAAAATGAGATAAAACTGATGTGTAATTCTCAAGGTTTACCCAGTTTTCTTTGCAACGTAGAAGCAAACATACTTTTTTCTTTTTCTTTTTTTTTTGAACATTTCTTTTTGCATTGTCCATATTAAATACACACTTTTCATATCTTTGAGTACTTGTGGAATTTTTATTGGAACTTGGGAAATATGTTTTTGCTTCTTGATGGGAGTTAGATTAGGAATTGAGACCGCTCACACATTTGGAAACTAAATATGAAGCTACCAGTTGCAACTGGCTATTTTAGCTTAGCATAAGGAGATGTTTTTGGCCGTATGTATGTTACTTCACCAAGAATTAAACTGACCTTAAACTGCACTTCACCTTGTAAAAGGTGATGTGTCCTCTATACTTAAGTAGTATCCTGCTTGTCTTTTGTCCCTGGTATTGAAGTGCAGGTTGCCTAAAAGAACAAGACATAAAAAGTTAAGAGTAAAGTAGATTGAAAATAATAAATCATGGTTCTGTAAGAAACACATAATTGGTCTTGATTGCCTTCTTATTGTTAATGTCATAAATCTTGGGTCTTTATTGATGCAGATCTTGGTAAAAGTGTCCAAAGTGAGGTTTGGTGTCCACATTGGCATCCACATTTTTGATTTGTGGATGTGGATATTTTTTTATAACTGGATATATAATGCAATATTTTAAAGTAAACCTCTTTTACTTTATTGTAAGACAAAATTTGTCTCCAGTTAGGCAACTTTTATGCCTATTAATTTCTCCATCAAGTGAAGCCCAAAGGAATCTACCTGGAGACAGAATTACACCTTTCCTTTCCATGTGTCAATAATAAAGCATAATGTTATTTCCCCCCAAAAGTGGCACCATTCCTTTAATAACTCTGTATTAGAAAATCGAATATACACATTGAGTGTAAAGTCATCTTAACGCCATATCAAGCAGAGTATAAACTGCAGGTCAGTGTAAAGATATTTTTACAAGAAACTGTTCGCAGCTATTTTCCGGTTGTAAATCTGCGGACACGGTGCGTTTCGCCAGGCACGTAGACTACGTGCGAAATAAGTGAAATGCACGTGTGGTTTTATTTGAGAGGACAGCCTGTTACAGAACCAACCATGAAAGAGTTAGTGTCTTTCCAGGGAATAAATCCAGCCCACTTCATTCTAGCTGCCTTCCTCCTGCTCCTCCTCAGTGAGGGCTGCACAGCTGGCGATTTACAGACCGCTACGCTGCAAGAGTAATTGGCTGCTAGGTGGACCACTGCCCCGCAAACTGGACCCGTGTTTGATGGAGGAGATGAATTAGCACAAATACTGGGATATTTATTTATTTTTTGTCTTTTGGGGGGTTCCCTTTATAAACCTCTGGATCACCAAAAATTTAAGACCCAGCTCCCTCCTCTCCACTGCAACCGTTATAACCTGCTCATACTGGAAACATAAGGTAAGGCAGATTATGACAAGAGTTTGAGTCTTTAAATATGGAAATTTAGATAAATGCAAGCTGGAACTGTGATTTAGCTGCAAAACGGACAGTTAAACACTAATGTGTAAGAGTCTGGGTATTACAAAATATATTGATATCCATCTGCAGCAGTAGGGTATATATATTCACTAGGGAAAACTGTTTTACGAATATTGGAGGTGAAAAAATGTGAGGAATGCTGCAACAGGAAACAAAATATCTTCCCAAAGCCAATTACTGACTTGGAAATGTAGTCTGAAGGAACTACATTGGCAGGATTCCCTGCTGCCAAAAGTGTGGTCTCTGTACTGGAACTTGTTAAATTGGTACACATTCTCATTTCAGGTAAATAAGCTGTAGCTATAATTATTAATGGATAATAAATTATTTACTTTACAGATCAGCTGTAGAACCACATTCATTATGCATTAATTTTCTCACTTTCTGCAGGTATAAATGCGTATAAATGATTAATAAATTGGTCCAGATGCTCTGCAGCTTTTTTCCAGTAGATAATTGGTGAAATGGTGCATTTGTCTGGATTTTCTGATTTCTTAATAAGGTAAAAAGACAAAGAGAGTGTCATGGTGGAAGAGGTTAAACAGCAGCCTAAAGGACAACATGGCAACCGAAAAGTTGCTTAATGGCATTTAAACGGTCCCTTAATAGAAAGTGTTAAATTTCTCTCAAGTGTTTGGAACAGATTGCATCCCTGTGTTATGGTTTGCATCTGGACTCTTTTTACAAAACAGTTATGTGGATCAGAAAACCAACAAACCCTAACTGGACTTTCTCAGAATTTCAAGGGAATGGTTGACCACCATGTCTTTCCACTTTGAGCAACTTTAGTTTTCTGTTTTCCTGATCTTCTATATATTCTGAAACCCTCTGTGTTCATGTAAGATGCAGTTTCTTCCACCATCGATCTACTCCCTGTGATGTGGCTCATGTTCACTGGTTTAAAGTTTCACAAAGTTCCTCTGAGGTCAACAACATGCTGCAGCACGGCAGGAAATCTTTTCTGCTGTCCAAAAGCACAACAAAGTACAGACTTCTGGTAGTGACAGCAAACAGATTCAGAGTGTGTTTTGGTGGGAATGATTGCACGTCTCAGGGTTAGACTTTGTAATGACCAACGTGTTCAGTATGTTGAAGCAAAGTGCTGCGCTCATCCGGAGAACTGCTGCCTGGTTGATTTAAGCCTTTCACAAGACCTGATCCATGAACACATTGGTATGGAGAGTCCCTGCTTCAGTGAGGGGTGAGCGAGGAAGAGAAACAGTTCAATATGTGTTTATGTGTGTGTGTGAGAGAGAGGGGGTTTGCTTTATATTATCGCTGGATTGATACACAAGCGTTGACCTTTTTAAAAAAAGATCAGATACCTGTCAGTCGCCTGATGTGATTAAAGCTACAAAATAACCAATTTGTAAAACATGAAATAATCTTTTATATTCTGTGCATAATATATGTAATTTATTTAATTAATGTCCCACTCATTATTTCTGTTAATTTGTTCTTTTCCACTGAATGGTTACAGTGGGTCAGTCTCCCATACAGGTTAATTCCAGTTAATTTAAAAGTTGCAATAATAGTAGTTTTACTTAACAAAGTAATTGGTAAGAACATGAAAACATGGTGACTTTACTGAAATTGAGTCTAACAAGGCACGACATCAGGCAGATTGTTTAACCAGATTGTCTAAACTACTTTTTTTGGAGGTACAACGGAAAGTGAGCAGAGAAAGTGACCCAAAATGTTGGTAATAATCCCTCATTGCATCCCTCAGAAAAACTGCATGTATTTAAAAGTACAGTAATTACAGCAGGAAGTCAGTCTGTAAACTGTAATGGATATTTAGGCTAAAAATATCAGTAAAGTTCCACATAGTTTGGCTAAACCTTCACTTAGTGATTGTGCACATTTCCCAGAATATAATTTATTCATCCACAGCAGGGCAACATGCACAAGTTACCTCCACTCAAAATGGGGATAAAAAAAGTCTACGATTGCTTATATTCTCCTCACTCAGTCTTTAAAATGTCCTGTAGTTGTAGTATTTTGTGTCCCTGTCTATTTGCTGCGACAGTTGTTGGTGAAATCGCTCTCGTTGCCTATATTACAGCAAACTTGAACATTTCAGCTGCTTCTTTTTGAGGGACAACAACAAAACAAAATCTATTGTAGCACCTGGAAATACTGCTTTTGGCCAGTTATGTAAAGGAGTAAGCAAACATCAAAAGATAGATGAGGTGATCTACTGTACATCAGTTTTATTTCTGTGTGTTGAGTAGACATGGCACAGGGTGTGTTTAGCCTAGCTTACTACAAGAACTGGTAGCAGGATTTATTCTTTACATTACATTACATTGCATTGTTAGTAAGCAACCAAGTATATTTCCCAAGATGTTGGCGTGCACAGTTGAATTCTTTCTGGATATGTTTGTATATTATGCCCGTCATTCTCATCATTCGTCATTCCTGTGTTTGTTCTTGTCTCCACTATCAACACTTCAATAAAGGCATAAAAATAATCTTTAAAAAAAGCTTTGAAAAAAGATTATGAATTTCCCCACAAAAATGTCACATCACGTGGCTTCAGTTCAGCCATAGTTACTGTATGTCTTTAAAAGTCCCTGCTGACTAAAGCTTAGTGTGAACCTGTGTGTGTCCTTCCTTACACTGTGAAATTGGACTCAGACGGCGCAGTCAGTCTCAGACATGTTTTGGAAAGGGCACCTTATGCTTGTGGTTTCTGTACAAACACATCACACTACTATATTTGTGTCTCTGAAGGAATAACCCCCAACTTGCTAAAAGCTCAGAAGGAGTGTAGCTGTCAAGTTATCAATAGAAGGCCTATGTTACCATTCAGTACCTACCAGAGCTGCACAGGAAGGTTTAAGAAGGCAGGGTGAACATGTTGTAGGAAAAAGTCAGCTTGTTGTATCAAGAACTATGAATGAAGATTAATCCAGATGTCTGCTCAAAAAAAACTGATCATTAGCGTACCAACATTGAAAAAAACTGGACAGAAAAGCTATGAAAGGGATAATCATACTATGAAAGTGAAGCTGTTAATTTCACAATTATAAACATCCATGCCATTAAGGCCTACGCACTTTAAACGTTCCCTGTTATTCTTCCCCACATCAGAGTCAAGTAAACACTGACCAGATGGTTTGAATCAAACTGCCAGAGCAACTCTACACTCTTCCATATGCTGGGCATATTTTCAGCTCCTTTGTGTGAGCCCTCTTGGTTTTAGCTACGGCTAAATACATTTATAAAATACATTCAGAGAATCATTTACGGGGGCACTAGGGCTGACCAGAGGGACATTTTGGGGGGCAACTAGATGACTACTTAGACTGCCTAAAGTCCTGGTATGACATTAGCTCAACATGGTACTCAGAAGTGGCCCAAAATTAAACAAACATCTCCTGGTTGTACATACATTTCAAAACAGGGAATTTAGAAACAAAGAGCAAAAAGGACCATATTACCCGACCTGTTCCGATGTAATCCATGTCTCAATCACTGTAAAGGAATAGTTTGAAATTTTGGGAAATACACTTTTCCAAATCTACCATGTATAGAGGAATTTGACTTGGTTATACAGCACAGTGAAACAAGAGAAGTTAAAATTTCAACAAAAGTTAGAAAAGTTATTCAATACCACATTGACGTCCATGCGCTTTTGAAGCTGTTGCCAGAAGCTGACTAGCATAAAGAGTAAAAACAGCGAGCCTGGCTTTGTCTGCAGATACATTCTACTAACTAACTAACTAACTGTACCACTAACATTATATACATTGTTTGTTGGTTCCAAACAAACACTGAAGAGTTAAAATTACATTTCATGGAAAGTTATGTATCGCACTGTGCCAGCAACTGAATTCCTTTAATACATATGGGTGCATATTCATTTCATTTTGTTTGCCCCATCATATTCATCTCTCTTAAAGTTCTGGTGCCCAGCAGAGAGTATCTCATGTAAAAAACTTTCTGGTGTGCACAGTAACTGTTCGTGTAATTTTTGCATCCAAAGAGTTAAAGGTCATATTGTTTAACATATTAACTTTTAGTTGTTTGATGATATTTCCTGGTATATTTTCTGGGTAACTGAAAGCTTAATGGTGTGGGTAAAGCTTCCGATTTACCAATCGATCATAATCTATAGGTGGTGACTGAATGAATGAGCTGGGCTCAGCCTTAGAGATACAGTGAGGAGCTCAGACATCCAGAAGGAGCTCGGAGTAGAGCTCCTTCACATCGAAAGGAGCCAGCTGAGGTGGTTCGGGCATCTGATTAGGATGCCTCCAGGGTGCCTTCCTTTGGAGGTTTTTCTGGGCATGTCCAACTGGGAGAAGACCCCAGGGTAGACCCAGAACATGCTAGAGGGATCACATATCTCATCTGGCCTGGGATTGCCAGGAGGGGCTGGAAAACGTTTCTGGGGAGAGGAATGTCTGGTATAACCTTAGCCTTTGGCCACCATGACCCAACCCTGGATAAGTGGAAGAAAATGTATAGAGATAGAAATAGTTTCTCATGCCCACACAGAACGTTCTGATGGTGGAAAAAAATGCTTCCCTTTTGGGGCTCTGTACAGTCTTGACTATAGAAGCTTGTTTCTCCTTAATTCAAGTGGTGCTCAAGCATCAGTATTTTTAAAATACATATACAGCAGACTTGGCTGGTTGTTGTACCTCTTAAACTGATAATGACATCTCATTAAATCTAATTGAATGGGCCCAATATTCAGTATTTTGATTTGTAGAAAACCTGAAACAATCTTCTCATCTAAACACGTATGCTAAGATTTGTCTTGACATTATCTTTTTCTTTTCTTCATGTGCAGTTGAGATAATGGAGAAGTCAAGATGCAGGCAACAGTTAGCCTTCAGCCTTCTGTTCGGGTTGTGGTTACCTTCCTGTTTGGCCCAAACCACACCGTCAAATGCACCCACGCAGGCACCCACACCATCCCCGTCTCCCAAGCTCCAGACCGAACGGCTAAAGGTCAGACTGGCTGGATACCCCCGAAAACACAACGAGGGTCGGATAGAGCTTTTCTACAAGGGAGAGTGGGGAACCATCTGTGATGACGACTTCTCAATAACTAACGCCAACGTGCTTTGTCGCCAACTGGGTTTCGTCTCAGCCACAGGATGGACCCACAGTGCCAAATATGGCAAGGGCCAAGGTAAGAGTGACCTCAGCCACCTGAGATTCAGTTTTTGGCTTAACGTACTGTGTGCTCTGCTATATGGGCGTTTATGGGTTCAAAATGACATATACACAAATCAGGGATATTCAGATAATCTGAAATAAGATTCCAATCACACATGTAGTGTGAGTGAGTGTCAATGAAGACTTAAACAGTCTAAACATTGGCAGTTGTAGGTAGCAGTCCCCATCTGCCCTTTAATCCAAGTAGGTTAAAACAAATGCTTGAGCAATGTACATTATTATGAATATGTTTACCCAGCGTGGCTAGAGCGTGGCTCTAGTGATGACAATGTGAGTTGGTTGGTTTGTCACTTTGGTCCAGACTGAAATATGGCAACATCTACTGTATGGACTGGCACAAAAACAGTACAGTCAATCATGATTCCCGGACAATTAATCCTAATGACTTTGGTGATCCCTTGAATTTCCTGTAGTTCCACCATATGTGAACTGTAATAACTTACCTTCAGGTCTAAATTGTGATTGTCCAATTCTTGTTAGCATACTAACAGGCTTCACTAAGATGAAGAACATGGTGAACATTATACCTGCTAATCATCAGGCTTTTAACCTAACTGCATAACTGCGAGCATGCTGTTAGCATTTAGCTCAGCCTCACAGAGCTGCCAGTGTGGCTGTAGACTCTGTACACTATTCGTGTTGTTACAATTTATATCATGACTATTCTTTACAAATCTTAACAAAAATATGAATGAAATTTGTTTTCACAGTGTTTGACTAACTAAAGGACAGTTTGGTTGGACTTCCAAGCCACCCCAGCCACACTTTAACTTTTGTAAAATCAGAAACCCTTCTGTTTATTCAGAATCATTAATAACATATTGGATTTACATTTTAGGCATTTATCTGATTCTCTTATTCAGCCTCTTGTCTAGAGTAGGTGCAACTGTGGAGCACTTACTGCCATAAGTTCCCAGAGCACTAGGTTCACAAGCAACCAAGTGTCACTTCCAGGCCTGGACTGACTACTTTCCGCAGGCCTGGGAGTGTGCTGGAGCCACACTGACAGTCTGCTGCTTGTCCAGGGAAAATCTGGCTGGACAACGTGCAGTGTAACGGAGGTGAGAAGAGCATTGAATTCTGCAAGTCCCGCGGTTGGGGCAACAGTGACTGCACTCATGATGAGGATGCCGGAGTTGTGTGCAAAGACGAGAGGATTCCTGGCTTTGTGGACTCGAATGTTATTGATGTAAGTCGCTGAAATACATTTAATGAGCTTTTCTAATTTTGTTGCATTAAAAATTATGCTGAGAGTTCATTAAAGCTAAGGTAGGTAACATTTAAGAAACTAGCAAGAGTCGGCTACATTTTGAAAGTATTCAACTGAAAAAATCCCATCCCCTCCATTCAGGCCTCCCTCCAAAGCCACTCCCCCAAAACACATTTTCATGTGCAATGAGAGCATGGGCAGAGTCAGCGAGCATTCGATTTATTGATTGCTGTCTAGATAAATTTCAACAAATGACAAAAAAACAAAAAAACAAATGCTTCTGAAATAAATTGATTACCCAAGCTTCAAGAAGCTGTTATAAGCCCATAAACTCTAATGCTCCACAACCTACAGAGAATAAGGTTTACCCCACATGGAAGACAGTCAACACCTCAGTGCAACTCCACCTGTAGCTGCCACACGTACTCTGTACAATGTGTCTGAACCTGTTAAAAGCAGCAACCTCTCCAAGTATATTGTCCTGAGGTGATGCTGGGTGTGCAGAGCTTTCTCAGTAAACCTGACATTCCACAACAGCATTGGTTCCTATGACTGATTGTTTGTGGGTTTGTGTAGAAGAGCAGGGTCCTGACCTCAGGGTCACTAGTTCAGATGTGAAATTCTGCTGTGGTGATGTTTTCCCCTCCTTCAGCTGCAGATATCAGTTAGGGTGTAGTGATATGGCCAAATCTTACACGATTAACTCACCCAAAGACAACAAAGTATTTTATTTTCTTCATTTATATGGAGATAAAGAGCTGTGTTGCATGGCTTGGTAGACTTGCTAAGTTCACTCTTCAAATAGTTCTGTGTTTTTTTAGTAAACATTGTTGTTGAGTTATTTTAATGTAATTTCGCCAGTGTTTGTGCACTAAATGTAATTGAACTCATATATATGAAGCAAAAAATGAACTGATACTCATACTGAATTGTATTGTGGTGATAGAAATGAAGCTTGTGCTGGGATACGACTACAGTACATGATAACATAATGGTAAAACCAGACCAATGTAGGGTGTCGGGAAAGTAAATGAGCATTAAGTCGCTCAGCATATGAGCTCCTGACAAATGTCCTAAATGTAAATACTAGTATTTATTCTTAGACAGTAAATTATATTGAATATAGTATATAGTGTTTGCATTAATGTACTCTCAGATGGGAATGATGGTTGAATGAATGTGTAGCGGGGTGTTTCTAAAAAAAAGTGTCCTCAAACCCTCCCTGGATAAATAAAGATTTAAACCTGAGGGACTTGTTGGGTGGGATGCCTGCTTAGCTGTTTCCAGCTGGTCATCATGTTCCATTTGTTCTCTTTGATGTCCATTTGTACAATTGACTGGTCCAAGGTGAACAAGGTTAGACCGGGGACTCGTCAGTGGAACAGCTTGAACGAATGGATGAGGTGTCTCTGTTACATAGAAGGATCTTATGAAAAAAAAGTTTCATGAGAGTAAGTGGGCGGACTTTCAGATGCATTACTACTCTGCCTCTTTCTGCCTGTTGCTGCAAGTCAGGCTCAGTCCAATGTGGCGTCCAGACTTCTGACAATCTGTGACCGCAGCCTGTTTTTTTCCAAATAAACCACAGCGGAAGTGACTCACCGCAAAGCTAGCAATCAGAGATAGTCACGTTTACCACTTATGAACTGTTAGCAAGTGGATTAGACCTAAAATTACTCTCCACAAAAGCTATGACTCATTGTTTAGTCTTCTGCTCTCATTTAAGAGTCTTAAAGAAATGTGCATATGTGAGCAATAAGTATATGTCTGCATGCATGGATGTGTCAGTAATAATCATTATAAGGAATACAACCCTTATGATTGTCTGCAAACTAAAGCCTCCTTTCCTCATGTAACTATCATCAGCATCAGTGTGCACTACAACTTTATAATGATCTATAGAAGGATTTTAAAGGAAGAAAGGTTATTGGAATGAATATTTACAATGATGATAAATTACATACACACAATGAATTAATTCTTCATTAATGAACAGACACAGACTTTGAATTTGGTGCAAATTTAAATCTAGACTTTGAAAACAAACTGATGGCCCTGATTTTCTCACGACAGGCTCACATTGATGAGAACAAGATAGAGGAGGTGCGACTCCGACCCGTGGTCGCCATGGCCAAAAAGAAGCTGCCCATTGCGGAGGGTGTGGTGGAGGTGAAATACAAAGACGGCTGGGCACAGATCTGTGACCTGGGATGGACGATCAAAAACACACGCGTGGTCTGCGGCATGCTGGGATTCCCGCATGAGAGGAAAGTCAACAAGAACTTCTACAAGTAAGTGAATGGTTCAACTTTAATCATTAAAACATGATTCTGGTGTGGGCTCATGAGGTTAAAGCTGCAACTGACAACTTTTTGCACAGGCGGTGAAAATAAATTTGTACCCAGATGATTATAAAAGTTGTCATCAGAGATTGGGTCGCTCATGTTTAATCAAATCAGTCAATCTGCAATGGTTTATAGTAAGAGAGACAGTCCTCTGCTGTTTCAGGGACAGTTTGGATGTTAAGTTTTGATTAATCACTTCATGTGGAAGAAGTCTGCATACCTGACACCAAAACAGCACTCGTGGCCCCTTAAAGGGGTAGTTTGACATTTTGGGGAAGATTGATACCGTGCGGCTGTGGCTCAGGAGATAGAGCGGGTTTGCCTGTTAATCAGCGGTCAGCGGTTCATTCCCCAGCTCCTCCAGGCTGCATGTCGAAGTGTCCTTGGGCAAGATACTGAACCCCGAATTGCTCCTGTCGGCTGTTCCACCAGTATATGAATGTGTGTGAATGGTGATAAAAGCGCTTTGAGTGGTCGAAAAGACTAGAAAGGCGCTATACAAATACGGAGCATTTACATACCACTCTCATGTCTCAATATGAAGCTGCTCCGCTAGTTAGATTGTCTAAGTATAAAGACTGGAAGCAGGGGGAAACAGCTAACATGGCATATATGGTATGAAAACCACACTGTGCTAACTCTCCGCAAGAAAGCAAATAAGTGTATTTCCAAAGATATCAAACAATTTTTTTAAGATAATAAAAATGTGCAATAAAAGGGAAGTCTCTAAACAGAAGGACATTAACTAGTACCAACAATGGGATAATTAGGTTACTTATCAAAGTGGCTGTAACTTTCTCAATCATTCAGGAGGGGACGTTTGCTGCAGCCTGTTTGACATTCAGTGGCTTTAGTCTGTTAAGCAAAGTGGCAACACTTTGAACAAACCGCAAGCAGGATCTTAGTCATTGTTTGGTAAAGAGCCGACATTATTGGAACTGCTGTTTATTGTGAATATGAGAGGGAGTGTGTGTTGACTTTCTCTACCTTCTGGCACAACTGCAGCTCTACAACAAAGCGTATGAGTCTCTCATTGTTCTGTTCTGTTTCTTCTTTCTTCTTTCCGAGGATGTTTTTGTTTTTCCTTTGGATAGACAGAAAAGTCAACGGCTTTAAGGTCCTGGTCGAGTCACATAGTTGATGTTCTCAGACTCTGTTCGTTATTTTGCAAAGGAAGTTGGAAGATTATAATTGCCTGCAAAGATGGAAGAGTACGAACAATAGAAAAGAAGAACAAACCAGTGTGTGTTTTGTCCCATGTATTCTCACATCTGTGGTTCTCTGTGTGGCACAGTGTGATAATTCAGGGAACAAAAGTGAGATATCTGCATTCAAGTCTCAGTATTTATTTATGAAAAGAACAGGTAAAGTTGAAACAATTAGCGACAGAAATATGATTGGCAACAAATTTGATTATTGATTTATCATTTAATGTGCCAAAATGTCTGACAGCTCTGTGTGGTATGTGAGGACAGCAATTACTTTAGTGGACTCTCAGACCTCCGTTTTCTTTGCCCAGTTTGTTCTTCCAGTATGACTGCAAGCATTCCTGGCTGCGGTCCAGTGGAAGGCCTTTTATTCATCCCCTGCAGATGGTTCACAGTAGTCTGAGGGGAAATGTGTGTTTTCTCTCAAGCATGTGTGAAGGCTGAGGCTCAGGGGAATGATCCAGGATTGGGGGGGATTTGGTTGGTCACATAATGCACAGACAACAACAACTGGAGTAAAGCCAACCTGCTTTCAGTCAGATTCTTCTGTGCTGTCAGTCCCTCTGTCCTTTTTTAGTCTTCAGTTGCATGAGTGCAGGAGAAGCTGAAGATGGACAATGGTCATAGAGTTTGGTCATAAATATTTTTTGAAGGCAGAAACATACAAACAGGCACATTTTTGCCAATAACTGATTTTGTGATAGTCACTGTCCTCAAGGAGAATGTTTTCATGCCTAAAATATGGATGGCTGTCAGGGTGGAACAGCATTCAAAATGATTACAGGACACTTTAACCAACTAAAACCCAAGCATATTAAATGTTAAATCATTTGTTACCAGCTGTTGCAGGGTTTTGTTGTCCGACTATATTCATCGATTAGGATAAGACTGGTGACTTTGTTTTCAAGTTTGCTGAACCCAAAATGCCTGTTTTCATTATCAATGTCATTATTGTGTATGTTGAAATATGATTGAGGTGTGTGATATATTATTATAACAGATTTTATCTAATTGACAAAACAATCCAAATGAGTGAAACCTATAAACTAAAATGATTTTTTTCTCCCTATCTGAACACAATGCCAGACTATTTAAAATTACATATTTGGGAAATACTATATTTAGGATAAAGAAAAACTTCATATCAATCAATATCATTGTAGTTGACTGAAAAACCTAAACCTTGCTGACTTTCATGTGTACGACTAAAATGAAGAATGACATGATTTTCTGTTGGTTTAGAATATTAAATAAAGCTCCAGCTAATCATTATTTTCATTGTTGATTATCTGTCGATTCATTTCTCAATAAATTGATTAGTTGTTTGGTATATAACAGGTCGTAAAAATTGTGAAAAATGTCTATCAGTGTTTCCAGTATTAAAGAGAAATCTTACTGGTTAAATTAGCAAGTCTGTCTCTATCACTACACCACAGCATCGTCAATGACTAGACTTAAGGTAAGAGCTAACGATAGGTTAATACTGAGGTGTTTTAGCTGCTGAACAAGCCTCAAAAGGCCACCACAGTGCTGAATTCTGAATAGTTTGAATAGCTCTGTAATTGTGATCCTACATGGGTGACCTGAAGTCTGTAACATAATATACGGGAGACTTGTGGAATGACAAAAATGTTACTCACAGCCGACCCTCCAGTGCCTTACCTTAAAGAAATGTATTATGTGTGCAGCCCAGAGACGGCGCGTATGTGTGCGTATTTGCATGTGGTCTCTCCCCTGTATGTGATGGAATTTGGATGTCTCACTGTTGCAGACGTCTGAAAAAGCGAGCAGCTGAGAAGGTCTCCAGGACAAAGGTTAATGTTTCAGCTGGTGGAAGGTACACTGTCACTGGGAAACCCCACCGTCCACCTCCGTCTGCACTCTGTTTACTGTAGTTTTTGACAGTGGGTTTCCTGTTGGAGTAGAGAATAACCATTTAGCTCCTGTTTCTAGCTAGTTGACCACTTCCCCTCTCTCTAATATCATATTATTATGATGTGCAGCATGTGAATGGGTTGTAGGTTTTTATTTTATCCTGCTAAAACTCACGGTTGCCTTGTGTGTGTGGAGGTTTGGTTTTCTTTTCATTATTGTTTTTTGTCTTTGACATTTTCACTGACATGGCACAGATTGTTAAGGTGGAGCTAATCAAGGGAACTTCTACATCTAGTGCACAAATCATTTCTAATCTTTGTAACTAAACTAAAAGTAAATCTATAAGAGTTCGTCTTTGCTCTCAGCCTTTTGACGGGACAGTCTGTGCTGTGTCAGTGACGGGGGCTTAATTTTTTCCACAGATTAGTCCTTTTTAATCTAATGCAACAGCTGGAAATCCCATTCCCCAATATGGCATGCTTTTTGGAGGAGGTCAGTAATTTTTTCATCCTGGGTTCTTCAACTAAAAAGGTCACAGGCCTCAGAGTCCACATGACAAGAACCGATCTGTGTCTGCTAGAATCTGCAAATAATTCACACCATTTGTTTTAGTCTGTTCAGAGTGCCAGATGGGTGGAGTCTGCCACGTTGAACGATGAGAGAGGAAGTTAGTACATCATATTTTTACAGTTATTATGTGACATCCTTTATTTAGTGTTGTGAGGTTGGAAAATTGCACCAAGTAGGCACTTTAAGGAGATGAAAACAAATAATTACAGTGGATAACTTATAACAGTTTATATTTTCTTATGTTATTAAGCTTACTGAAAGATGTTGTGTGAAGACACTGAAAAAAATAAATCCTGTCCCCTAAAGGATACAGCTGGCTTTGTGTATTTTTCTTATTGTCAAAAATGTCAAACAATCAAAAAAGATCAAAATGAGATGAAAATAATGATCATTTGTAGACTCTAAATGAATCAGGTCCATTTGTTACCAGAGTAACAAAATATGAGTTTTTTTCTATCCTGTACTGAAAAAAGTTGAAGAACCCATAAACATAGATAATGCTTTTATTATTACGCCTACCTCCAAAACTTAAAAGCAGTGCCATATGTCAAGCAAAATCAATGTGGTAACATGAGGTTCACATTGACACAATAGAAAACCTACAATCACAAGAACAAACACGTTAATGATCACGCTTTACATTTCATATACTCTTTGGCCAAAGGTAGATGGACACCCAAACACTACACCCATTTGAACCACTTCTAGTTCATCCCAAAGGTGTTGGATGGGATCGAGGTCAGGGCTCTGTCCAGGCCAGTTAAGTTCTTCCACACCAAACTGGAAAAACTCATGTCCTTATCAACCTGGCATTGACATATATGTACATATATGTACAGGTATTGTCATGTTGATACAGGAAAGAGTCTTCCCCAAACTACAGTGAACAAAATTATAAACACACCACCTTTGTTTTTGCCCCCATTTATCATGAGCTGAACTAAAAGTTCTAAGACTTTCTCTATGTACACAAAAGGCCTATTTCTCTCAAATTTGGTTCACAAATCTGTCAAAATCTGTGTTAGTGAGCACTTCTCCTTTGCCGAGATAAGGTGTGGCATATCAAGATGCTGATCAGACAGCATGGGTATCGCGTGCGCCTTAGGCTGGCCACAATAGAAGGTCACTCAAAAATGTGCAGTTCCACACAGCACAATGCCAAGTTTTTAGGGAGCATGCAGTTGGCATGCTGACTGCAGGAATGTCCACCAGAACTGTTGCCCGTGAACTGAATGTTCATTTCTCTACCATAAGCTGTCTCCAAAGGCGTTTCAGAGAATTTGGCAGTGCATCCAACCGGCCTCACAACCGCAGACCACGTGTAACCACACCAGCCCAGGACCTCCACATCCAGCATCTTCACCTCCAAGATCATCTGAGACCAGCCACCCGGACAGCTGCTGCAACAATCGGTTTGCAAAACCAAAGAATTTCTGCACAAACTGTGAGGAACCTTCTCATGGAAGCTCATCTGCATGCTCGTCGTCCTCATCAGGGTCTCGACCTGACTGCAACTTTGCACAGCCATTGAAGAGGAGTGGACCAACATTCCACAGACCACAATCAGCAACCGGATCAACTCTATGCGAAAGAGATGTGTTGCACTGCGTGAGGCAAATGTTGGTCACACCAGATACTGACTGGTTTCTGGACCCCCCACCAGTTCCCCCAATACAGTGTAACTGCACATTTTCAAGTGGCCTTTTATTGTGGCCAGCCTAAGGCATGCCTGTGCAATACCCATGCTGTCTGATCAGCATCTTGATATGCCACACCTGTGAGGTGGATGGATTATCTCTGCAAAGGAGAAGTGCTCACTAACACACATTTGGCAGATTTGTGAACAATATTTGGAAGAAATGGGCCTTTTGTGTACATGTCTTAGATCTTTGAGTTCAGCTCATGATGAATAGGGGCAAAAACAAAAGTGTTGTGTTCATAATTTTGTTCAGTATATTTACACAAAGTTGAATGACATAGCGTTAAGATTTCCCTTAGTCGAAACTAAGATGCCCAAACAACCTCAGACCAGAATATGTATATGTGTATGTGGAGTTGGGTGTATCCACAAATCTTTGGCTACGCAGTGTATATAAGTGCTGATGAAACATGTCAAAATAAGTGATGAAAATCCACATTTTGACTGATTTAAATATTTGTCACATTTGTGTTTACATGCATTTAAAAAGGATGTCTCACTTTCAACAAATCTGTGTGCCCAGTGTTACTTTGAATATAACATACAATATACTGGGAGTTACATATTATGTGTATTTAACAACTATGTTGAAGGAGACACATCCTTTTGAAGAGTGTAACTACAGTTTTTAACATAATTGTGCATCATGTAACAGTTGTTACTATGGTATTTTCACTTTGTCACCTCATTTTCTTCCCCTAACTGTTCCGTCTAACCCGTGTTTACCTTGCAGGCAGACATCCAAAGCTAAAGCTAGCTCTAAGTCTAAACAGAGCAGCCCTGGCAAAAGGTAATCTGAGGATAAACAATTCTGTGGGTAAATTCAAGCTGTCTGAAAAGACCCACACACATGCTGCTTCCACAAGCCTCACAAACAAATGCCATTTAAAGTGATAATAAAATGTTGGATCTTCCCAAGAAAATAAAAAACTAATCCTCTAAGCCACATCCATCCCATCCTGCCTGACAAATGTGGCTGTTTAGCAAGAACGTCCATGATTTTCAAAACAAAAGCTTGTAGCTAAATCCAATAGTTGTTTAGTCAAAGTACTAACATAATGGACATGCAGAATAGTCTTTAAAACACCTGATGTATGTTCCAAAGAGCCATTTAAGCCAAAAGTTAAAGAAATATGCTTATTCACTTTATTTCCATAAGTTAAAAACAACTCTCATGTCTATATGCTAAATATGAAGCTACAGCCAGCTGCTGGTTAGCATAAATACTGGAAACGGGGAAAATAAAGGCATCAAAATTCTGTAAGCCATCAAAATTCTACCAATATTTTATTACGAACAGTAGTTTAATGCCAGTATATATTAAACTAATGAGATGTAGACCTGTAGGCAGATTTGTCAACTTTGGACAAAGCAAGGCTTGCTAGATTGTAGCTTGTAACTCCCTATAAAACCACAGCTTGTCAGTTTTACATTTAGTTACGGATTAAACAAATATGTTAATTAGCACAATTTTGAGTTGCTGGTAGGCAGTTTTTTTTTACTTTGGACAGAACCGGACAAGCTCTTTCCTGTCTTTATGCTAAGCTAAGCTAAACGGCTACTAGCTACAGCAACGTATTTACTGTGCACACTTGAGATTGGTATCAATCTTCACCTCTAACTCTTGGCTGTAATTTAGCATTTTAATGCTAAATGCTTTAATGCTTTTAGCATTTTATTCAAAAGTTTCATTGAATTTAATATTTGGCTTTACTGGACACACATTTACTGTTTATACCCAGGACCAAACTCAGGCCCTTACAACTGTGAATTTTTAATTTTGTCAAACATGTTTTTATAATTTAAGATACTTTAAGTTAAGATCTCTTTGATAGTTTGTGTGAGCCTGAATAATAGACAAAACCAAGCATTTTCATAAACAAGCGTCTCTGTTCACTTTGCCTTTGTACATCAGGATTATGTAGCCTCATTTTCAGTCATGCATTAATTTGTGTAGTCATTGACATTTGTTTTCTCAACATTTTGATGTCTTTTTGTGAAGTTTAATTGGCAGTAACTTTTCAAAGTTGCAGTTTGATTCACATCTGCCTTAATGTATTTCCTGTTTGTATAAAATTGTTTATTGATATTTTTGTATACTAAATGTGTAATCAGTATACTATTACAATAAGTATAAAATACATACATAGAATTAGTATAGATTTGGGACACAGATAATGTTTCTGTCATCACAGTCCTTGCGCCTGTCTCTGCTCCCTCCAGGTTGTATTTGGAGCGTCAGAAGAACTACTTCCACATTCATTCTGTGGCGTGTACGGGCACAGAGGTGCACCTGGCAGCCTGCCCCCTGGAGTTCAGCAAGCCAAACACAACATCGTCCTGCGAGGGCGGCATGGCGGCTGTGGTTAGCTGCATGCCGGGCCCGCTGTTCATGCAAAACAGTGGCTTGAAAAAGAAACTTAAAACTTCGGTAATGTAGTCTTTAACTTAAGATCAGCTCAGTAGGACTTGTACACAGCAGACATTTTATGTGTGACACTGAGCCAGCATGCACAAGCAGCTAAATTGAATTCAGCCATCATTATTTTATCTTTTACATTAATTCTTTCTCTACTGTGATATGTCAAAGTGTAGGCTACACTATGTATGCTCTAATGTTGAATTGTAATTAGCAACCGGAAGTAAATAACTACAGGCTTTTTATTGCCTTTGCTATTAGTGTATTAAGATAATTTACTCTGAACCAATCATTTTTGTTGGCTTTATGCTAGATATTTGACCATATCAAATAACAACTACTTATATCATTGGCCTCTTATAGGATTTAGGTTTCACCTTAACCACACTCTGTACACAAGCAGTCTGGATTGTATTCCCATGAATTTAGTTTATTTACTTCATTTATAACCCATTTGTTGCCTGTCTGAAGTAGAATAGGTTCCTTTAGCTTTATTAGTCTGTTGACCATTAAATTTCAATCTTGTCCTCACCAGCTTTAAACCGCATGGTGTTCCTCGGTAGATAGGTTTTGCTCAGCGTGTCATAACAGGCATGGAACCTAAGTCATGTTATACTCATTAATTAAGACTGCAAGATGCATTCCAAAAAAAAGCTAGTTAGTGAACCTTGATTTTTTTTTGTCAAATGATGTAGTCTAGCTTAAAGTATCATTTTGGTGTCACACAATTCTTAGTGAAATATTATCATAATATATAATATTTTTTAGGAAATGAAGTAGTCTAAGTTAAAGATACTAAATTTCCCACAAACATGGCGGCTTTACACAGTTGTTAAAAGTGGTCATATTACTGTAGATATCTGCCAGGATGCTCAGAAGACTAACCTGACAAAAATAAATTGAAATAATGTTTTATGTGTCTGCTTTCTCTTTAGAGCACAGTAAGACTGAAGGGAGGTGCCAGGCTGGGCGAGGGTCGGGTGGAGGTGCTGAAAGACAACGAGTGGGGAACGGTGTGTGATGATCGCTGGAACCTGCAGTCAGCCAGCGTTGTCTGCAGGGAGCTTGGCTTCGGCAGCGCCAAGGAGGCTCTCACCGGAGCACGCATGGGACAAGGTTAGGAAAAACATGTTTTCCAGTGACAAAAATGTGTTGGTTTGTGCAAACAGACGTTGACATTAAAAAACAATAAGAGATGAGGTCATACAAACACAAGTCAGTCTGTTTAATTAAGGACCAAATTTAAATGATGATCCAGCCAGCATTTTTCAGGCTATGTAGACTGCTCATCTATAACAAGGTTTTTCATTTCTGTGCTTTAATGTAGGGAGCTAACCTCATTGGTTGACTGACTTGTTATTCAAAATCTACATTTTAGTGCATTGTGATTGGAGTAAATAAAAAAAAAAATTCAGCTTTGTAACTTCAGACAGAAGTCCACTGAAAACGTATAAAAGATAGTAGTCAATGTCCTGTTTGAGAGAAGGCCAAAAAACGTTCATTATGTCCGACTGCAGAGGGAGTGCTCCATCATGTAAAAGGGTCCAAAGGTTCACCCTGCAATTATAAATAACCTCCACCCACAGAGGGTATTATTTCCACATCCTTAGTAATCCTCAAACATTTTGTACGTAAGTATTTAAAGTCCATGAGCACCAGTGAGGTGATATATCTCAAGACATGATTGAAAATGACAAAAGTAATCTGTGTGTTTAAAATTTGCAATATTTTGTTTACTTAGATAATAATGTAGATCCTCTACACCCAGAATCCCTATTTCATATGAATCGTGATTATGGGGATAGCCCCGTTGATTCTGTAATTCGCATTGAACCCATCACCTGAGGCAGGATCTGTCTTTAGACGGGACTTCAGTCATCAGTTGTCTGTCTGCAGCCTGCTCGTCACCCCAGAGAATGGATAATTTGCCATCAACAAGTCCACATTCCTACACGGATTCCTCATTTGGAGCTTATTTTAATAAGTAAAGGAATGTTGTGCATGAAGAAAGAAAAGAAACAAAGACAAAAAGACATGAAAGAAAGAACTCCATCACAGTAAACAAATATGCTGTTCATATTCTAAGCGTATGTCAGGCATTTTTTAGAACAGACTACCATCTGTGTTATTTCTGCTAGGCTATGGACCATTTCATGTGAAAATGAGGCAGTAGATTTCATAAACCCACCTTCTGTCTGTGCCTATGTGTGAGTAAGTGAGCATGTCTCCGTGTGAATGAATTACGGCCAAATAAGGAGTTGGTTTTTAGGTTTTGGACCGAAGTTTTTAAAGGCTCATTATAAGTACCTTATTTGATTTCTGCCACTGCTCTAAAGACACACCACACTTCACTGTGCTGCATTTGGAGAAAATTCCTTAAATTCACCCATTGTCTAAGGAAACACAACATGGTCCCAACACGAGTATTGTACTAATTCACCACACCTGACTCAGGTGTGGTGAATTAGTAATCAGACACCATGAACACATCACAAGACAGTTCGTTTTGCAGTGTAGGCCACCACCGATATCCTCTTGTATTTACAAAATACTGTATATATGAAGCAACAAAAGTGACAATGTCTGTCAGTTAATCGTTATAAATGCATCAATCATCAATCATATATCAAGTGTTAATAATTAATTTGCAGTTAATGACCATATGAAATACATAAAGCTAGAGTTTTTTCCTGAAAGAGTTTGTGTGTCAACTGAGTGATACCACATTCAGTCCCCAGTTACCATTTTTCAACATGTACATTGTGTCCTCGTCAACATCCTTGCCCGAATTACTGGGAAGCTCTGTTTCTTGGTTTTAAAAATTGTGAATTCATAGTATTTTAAACCCTCACACAGCCAACATCTTTCCTATCCCTACCATCCATCCCATATGACTTGAATGCTGAATTGGTGAAATATGTCACTTCATCGTGAAGCATGAGGAAAGTCGCTGGAAGTGAAACATTGCTGTGAATAATTATTCTTTAACCGAACAAAACTATTAAGTGTTGTCACCATTTCACTCAGAATAAAGGTGCCAGGTAAAATATTAAAGTATTTATCTCAGTGTGTGTGTGTGTGTTCCTCATTAGTGATTCTTTTCAACAACATAGACGTGTGTGAAATTTTTTGGTAAACTTCCCTGATTTTCCACCAAAGAAGAAACAAGCAGTCTTTTGAAGGTGCGGTTCTCAGAAACTCTGGGTGGGGATGTCTGCTCTCGTGTGTGTAGATTATGATTTCTACCACAGAGGAAGTCGGTCGCAGAGACACATCACAAAATCCTTTTGAGGCAGCAGCATACCTGCTCTGTGCTCAGATGGATGTCAGACCGCCACCTAGCTGAATTAGTCCAAGAAACGTTCCTTAACGTCACAGAAGTCGGAAACGAGCACCGCTGAAGGAATTCCTTTCACAGAAATTTCATGATACAATCACCTCATGGTGCTATGAGTCGTAGTGATGGAGTGTGAGTTTAGAGGGTGAATGTAAACCTGGGTGCCGCTGACAGAGAGCATGCATGCTCAGCAAACATGCTTCAGGTTAAAAGCGAGTTGTGGATTAGTTTCAAGAGGTACTGTATTATGTAGTAGTTTGAAAGGCATACAAGACTGGACTCCATAAATACAAGTGTTGTATGGAAACATGTCAAAATTTTACATCAGAGCAATAGAAAGCTAAAATTATACACATCAAACAGCAAATGTACTGTACATCCTGGGCATCTAAATGTAACTTTGTATGGTCCTATCCGCTTTTATGATGAAAAGTAAGTTAAATGTGACATTTTAATTTCGAATCAGTGTTTTATCAGTGTCTTTTTGTTTTGAATTTTTGTGGTTTAATGACAAAGTGATTCCACCATCATCCAGTTAAAGCTTATACATTTACATAATTTTCCCAGGACAAAATGCTCAGCGCCATGAAAAAAAGTGATGCGTTTGTTTTACGATTCTGGTAGCAGTATTATGAACGAAATTAAATAGAACAGGATACACACCATGACTAGTAATGGCTACCATGGCAAATAATAATACACAACAAAGGAGAGGGGGTCCAGATTTGCTCAATCAGTCTGAGTCTTGAAACCAGAGTCCAAAAGGCAGGCATAAATTGACCTGAATTGTTTTAATCTGATCTGAGCACCTTATTAAATGGGTTAGGACTCATTAAATCCTGCAGTGTGTATATAAAGAGCCAGGAAAGAAAGGTTTGAGACCTTTGCCACTTTGTCTTGGCTCCCGTCACATTCTGGCTGACAATCAAAGCAGAACCCTTTCAGCTATTCCACAAGCAAGTCTACCTTCTTTAACTTTTAAGCCTCTGTCTGTCTGTCTTGTCCAGGAATGGGTCCAATCTACATGAATGAGGTGAAGTGTCTCGGTCAGGAGAAGTCCATCTGGAACTGCCCCTTTAAAAACATCACATCGGAGGACTGTCAACACATGGAGGACGCCGCCGTCCGCTGCAGTGTGCCCTATATGGGATTCGAGAACTTGGTCAGAGCTGAACCTCCTTACAAAAACGTTTCATTTTGAAATTGTGCTGTTAACTTGAGGAATAGTTAGAAAGTTCATTGAATTGTTAATACCATTATTATACTATTTATTACATTAGCCAGGACATGAAACTGTGTTGGTTACTTTTGAAAACTGGGCTGAATAAGTTAACTGCTTTAGATTCAATAAGTGTAGCATAGGAATGTTATACTGTGTTAATTGTGTTATCCATTAATTTAGTCCTTTGCTGATCTAAAATTTTTTGAGGATTGCTCTAACATATGAGATTTAGAGCTGATGCTCACAGAAATCTCACAGTTTCACTCTAAACCAATACTTCTTCACTGCTGTCACACAAAAAGTTATGTCATTTGGCATTTTCATATTTGTATGTACTGAATTAGTTCAAGTGCTCAGATTATTTTTGTTAGAGCTCAGCATTTATGCAGATACTTTTTTGTGACAACACTGATTCCCTGTTAACACAGAGTATATATGGTTGTGCAGTTTGCATTATACCAGATCATACTCTTCCGTGTTTCCTGTAGATCCACATAGAGGCCGACCAAGTGGGATAAAAACTCTGCAAGGGAACACTTTCATCGTACCGATAGTTTTCAATTTGAGTTGCATACATGTAAACCACCAGTAAAGAAAAACTTATGATGCTAACATTTAAAATTTTAGACCATGACTGACACCAGCAGACTTTTTATCCAGCCTGGCTCTTGTGTATCTATGCTCTGCTCTCTGGTTCCTAACACATTGGCCCCACACAGATCCGAATCACAGGAGGACGGACCCGTTACGAGGGCCGTTTGGAGGTGCTGAGCTCAGACTCTAACGGGACGCAGAGCTGGGGTCTGATCTGTGGAGAGACCTGGAGCACCAGGGAGGCCATGGTGGCCTGCAGGCAACTGGGCTTGGGCTACGCTAACCAGGGCCTGCAAGTAGGTTATTAACACCTCTGAAGCCAACTTTCTGCAGCAGAGCAGAGGTGCTTTGACCAGCGGGTCGTCTTTTGGTCTATTTGACATATGCAAATATAATATACTGTCATGAACACTCACTGGCCAATTTAACACAACAAAAGAAAATGTCATTCCTGTCATTTCATGACAGTTAACTCTACATAAACATGTTCAAATATATTCAGTATTTCTGTTCAGTAACAGATTCAAACATATTGCTAACATGACTACAAATTCTGGTGTATATTTTTGGAATATACTTGAACATGCCTGTATTAATGTCTGACAGTACATTATAAGTTCCATATGGAGTAGATGTCTCTTTTCCTACACGCAGGAACATGATTCTGTTTTGGTCTTTTCTATGCGGCCAGACCAAAACAGACACACATGAAGTTTCTAATTAATCTCAAAAGCCACTCACCACTAATTCAAAATGGTGACCTCATCTGGAAACCCTGTTGACGTTCTCCATGCCAAGAAAGTCTAACCAAGTTTCTGCTTCAGCAACACAATCTCCACTGCCTGATGACTGTATATGAACAAGTTTTAGTTTCAGCCCAGACAGTTTAGAGACAGAACAGGAAGTGTGTCCCCTCACTGACTCCCAGCAGGGCATTTCTGCAGATCCGGATAGTAGGCGGCCGGTCCAATTATGAGGGCCGGGTGGAGGTACAGGTTGGGTCCAAGTGGGGCACAGTGTGCAGCACAGGCTGGACCACAAAGGAAGCCATGGTGGTTTGCAGGCAGCTAGGGCTCGGCTACTCCATGCATGCCATCACTGTAAGTAGGACCGAAGACTTAAATGAAGATTCCACTATGAGATATTTAATGAACAAATGTATTGTTTACAGGATAAGCTTCTTGAGATGCATCACGAACAACAGCATGACAAACAATAATTACAAAAGTAAACATTAGAAGTAGGAGCATCTTGATTTTTAATAAAGATAAGTGAAGAAATAAGCCTAGTGTTGAAAAATGGAAAAGGAAAGGAATACATTGAAAATTAATATGAACGAATGAATTTGATTTAGAGACTTAAAGAGCTTCATACATGATCACAGTGATTGGTATGACATGGACATTTAAAAATATGCCTGCTAAACTATTGTAAATGACATTTAAAGGTAAAGAAACAGGACTCAGTATCAAGTTTTGACATTCGACACCAACAGTTTATCAAACTGTGCCTTAAAATATTCAAATGATTTATAGTTCCATCTTGAAGCAATCATGATTCTTTTTTGAGTAAAAATCCACATAAAAATGTACCTTTAATTACGGGCTCATTTTGATTGTTTTATTGGATCAATATGAGGTATTTCCAGTACTTGCATAACCAAATTCAGTTTGATATAAATAGAAAATGCTAGATACTTGCTGACTTTGCCATAGCACCCAATACTGCCTCCCAGCAGTATAATCGCAGCTGTAAACTGTGTTTAATTTCAAAGCAGTAACCTGGGAGGAAATTACACTAAAACAAAATAAATATATTTAAACAGCACCAATAAACGTCAGGTTTTGGTGTCAGTTGCC